TCTTTTGTTAATTTTTTTTCTATTCATTTGTCTACGCTTTGGCTGTGTTCCTCTCTTTTCAGACAATGCTGCCTAACTGGAGAAAGTCACCAGCACAGGCAAGTCCAGATATTTGCCTTCAGTCTCTCAAACGCAAGCAACCATTGAGGCCTATCAGCAGCTAATCCTGCAGACAACTTAAATATTCCGTCAGTCCAGAACACTTTATTTGGGGATAACAAGGGATTTTGAAAATTGGCAACAACCCCTACCCGAAATTGTGTAATTCTTTATGGTGCAAGCAAGACTACACAATGCCAGTTTACAGACTCTCAAAGCTGCTGCTGACTCACCATCCCAAATTGTACAATTATTGTCTAGCCAGACTTTAAATGACTTCACATTAGCAGCTTCATTTGTCTGCCTGTTATCATTTCTGTTGCGTATATTTTAAACAGGGTCAGAATTTGTCTGCCTGTTTGTCAATATTGGATATTTCTACCAGGGTCAGAATTTGTCTGCCCGTTACCAATTCTTTATTGTATATACTCTAACAGGGTCAGAATTTGTCTGCCTGTTACAATTATGTATTTTAAAATTTTTAACAGGGTCAGAATTTGTCTGCCTGTTATCTTTCTGTATTGTATATACTCTAACAGGGTCAGAATTTGTCTGCATGTTACAATTTTTGTATTTTATATTTTTTTAACAGGGTCAGAATTTGTCTGCCTGTTATCATTTCTGTATTGTATATACTCTAACAGGGTCAGAATCTGTCTGCCTGTTACCATTTTAGTATTAGAACTTTCCTGCATGTGGTAGAATAGCAGGAAAACATTGTATGATAGAAGTATTTTATTGGAAACACCTGTTTATGGTAGGCATGGCCAAAGGAAGGCCAATTACAAAGCAGTAATTTGTGAGGTGTTGGAGCATTCTCAGCCAGTGCTCCGCAGAACACGCTTGTGTTTTGTTTATATCTATATTTGAATGAATATGTTTACATATATAATATACAATATTGTAATTTATGGTTTTGTTTTATTGTACATGTACATCTATGTGTTATTCATACCAAGCACTGCACTGAATGCACGTCCGGCATTCTCCTTTGAGACATTATTTACATAGCGACGGACACAGGTTTTCAATAGTTACTCATCTTTGGTTTTTTCCTGGGCGATTTTTAATGTCTTTGATAGGGATATATTGCATAGCATATAACATATATAGTTAACAAAAAATTACATCACTTCATTGATCACATACACATTAATGTATGCCTTTGGTTACATGATTTGTGTTTAAAGTAATGCCAGCTGATCCCACAAAGCTAGCCTGGTTTACAGCAGAAGTGGTGTATTATTTGAGGAGTGTTGTATTATTTTAGGTGTAGTCTGTCAAATAATGTGGGAAGGTTACACTGTATATTTCTAAATTTGGTCAGAATTGGGTGCCTATGTCTCAAAACTTTAATGCATTTGCAATGCATTAAGATTTGACATTCAGGTTTACCTTTGTACATATTTTTCAGCTTAAATCTTAGTAGGCATAGAAGTTGTAAGCCTGTTTCCATCTAATTGTATAGATTCCCTTGATTTTCTGCAGGTTCATTCCTTGGCCTCTGAACTATGTAAATGTATCAAGGTTAGTTTTAAATGATTCACAATTTGTATGCCGTTATCTTATTGAATTGTTTACTTAATTTTATATACATTAGGGCGAGTTTCACCATCATTTGTAATTTTGTTGCTGATTTCCATCACTTGTTACTTTCTATTCAGAATTTTGTGTTGGCCTTTTTATGTAAGGCCATGAGATATGAGTAATACCAATAGTGTTTACAAGCAAGAAGACTCTAACATGATAAGTGCATTGAAATCCTTCGAATTCATTTTCTGTGTACAGATCGAATGTTGCCCACGAGCGTTTGAGTAAATAATCTGTTTGTATGTGCATGATGTTCATTAGCTTTAAATTCCAACCTTTTTTTTTTTACCAATTTAACATTTTATATCATACGTGTGGTTTTACCAAGGCAACATCTTGAGTGGTGCTTCAACCCGTTAGGTTGATGGCGCTTTTTATGCACCACTTTTGTTTCCAATAAAGTTTGTTGTTGTATTTTACCGCATTATCACATATGTATGTTGTAACAATATTGTGGCTGGGAGACCACTGTTTTGTAATCATTTATTGAATTGCATTTCTGGTCAAGCTTTCCATTATTCTGTTATGCCTCCCAGCCAAATTATTTGGTAATTGTTTTTATAAATGGATTTCATTTGTCGTCATTTAAATAAATGACAAGATCTTTACACTTAACATATCTTCTGTTATGTATTTTGGAAACAAACAGAGCTGCTATGTTGCCTTGGTCTGCCAGTAAAGTTTTAACATAAAATAAGGTTTATTTTCAAATAAAGCGATTTATGTTAAAAAATTCATTTATGTATTTTTATGGATGTCAATGTGTTTATCTTTTTGTAATTTTACAAAACCTTTAATTTGTAAACCTGGTTCTTCCAGTGACCTAGTTTTACCGCGTCCATTAATTTTGTCAAGGCCTTAGCTGTTTTCTGCCAATCAGATTGACGCACAAGGCTTCCTATTTATATACGTCTTGTTTACTCGGAGTGCTGCCGCGTAATTTTTGTGAACAAAAGAGCAACCACCACCTCCACTCCATCCACCACATTTGTTTAATTAACCACATAATTTTATTTGTGTGTCCTGCAGCGCTTTTTATGCACCACTTTTGTTTCCAATAAAGTTTGTTGTTGTATTTTACCGCATTATCACATATGTGTGTTGTAACAATATTGTGGCTGGGAGACCACTGTTTTGTAATCATTTATTGAATTGCATTTCTGGTCAAGCTTTCCATTATTCTGTTATGTCTCCCAGCCAAATTCTTTGGTAATTGTTTTTATAAATGGATTTCATTTGTCGTCATTTAAATAAATGACAAGATCTTTACACTTAAGATATCTTCTGTTATGTATTTTGGAAACAAACAGAGCTGCTATGTTGCCTTGGTCTGCCAGTAAAGTTTTAACATAAATATCTTTTAAACGAAATAAGATTTTTGATTTATTTTTGTGTGAATTGCTATTATAAAATAGATAAGTCGTAATATTATAGAGAAAATAATAACTTCAAATCTGTGTCCAAGTACCTTTAAACAGTTTAATAATTATTTTATTAGTTTATGCCCTTTCCGTAGCGATATACCAAGTCAAGCTTATTTACCTTATATAATTATTGGAATTTTAATAGAAATCTGTGAAAATTGCAAAAGGATCACAGGTTTACCCGAATGCATAATTTATTTCAAACACTTACCTCCTCGTTTGCGTTCTCTTTTAAAAACATGTATTGCATTATATAAAAAGAAAAATTCATTAAATTTAAACAAAGTCGGATGCTTTTTTCACATAAGTTCAAAATGATAAATTATGATTTGCACAGGATTTGAAACATAAACCCTTGGGCGAAGCAGATTGAATCACAACAGCTGTAAAAATATATTAATTTACGTTTAAGAGAGAGATGGATTTCTTATTAGATGTTGTTTTTAATTGTTATGAAACATCATTCAGAGTGTCGTGTAACAACCGGATCTGTTTTACACGTTCTGAGGATGAAGTTCCAAGACAGTTCTGTGCAGCAGTTGAAACATTTGAAATTTGTAACAGCAGATTGATTGGAATATGCTGATATTGTCCCATATTCTAAAAAGATCACAAGTCAAGTAAAAAAAAATAGGAAAAAAATAACTTTCTTGTGTTAAAAAGGTGTATTTCTTTTTTTAAACATAAATTTAATCAACTAATTCTCATAGAAGGTAGTACGTTTATGGTTGAATCTAGTCAATTATTTATCAGTATCTTATGATTGATAGATGAAAAGATCTATTTTGTTGAACAATGTACATTGACTCTTTTTAAAAAAGTTAAGTCATGTTACAAAATTTGTTTCACTAAAAATTAATACAATTAAACTTTTTAAAGCTAGATAAAAATGCGACCGTTAGGGTAAGCGCAGATACTTAACCAGTTTTCATTTAGATCTGACTCATCAAACCGCACGTGACATTCGGTGTGACTCTGACGTCACAAGACGTCACAATACGTCGTTTGCATTGTTGCTTCACCAAACTGAAGCCTAAATAGGACCGATTTCAATCAGTTTATGACTATTTTTCTGCAATAAACAGATAAATCCATTAAATCTAGGCAAATTTATTTTTTTAACTTTTGTGTATTCTCGAGAGAACGTGGCTTTAGCATTTGTGTACTAAGCGATGCATTGTGGGTCAAATTACTGCGTCAAAAAATTCTATTGAATGAATGTGCAGTAGTTCGAATTTTCTTTTCACCAAGGCATTGTCGTAAGAGCTTGCAGTTACGAGCGTGGCTTAGCGACACTCGCTGCGCTCGCAATTAAGTGGTTTTCCCGAGGCATCACCTTTTTGTCCGTTGTCCGTTACTTATTGGTAAATATGCAACTTAGTGATGCTGAGGAAAACCATTTGAGAATGCAACATGTGTCACAAGAGCATACATAAAGAATGGTGACTTAAAGATCTGGAAATTTTACCGAGTTAAAGACCTTTAACATTCAGGTTTTTTTTCAACCTTGGATTTTTATCACATTGTCCATAATGTGGAGTTCTGAACAACTACAGAAATTAAATTGTTATGCATTTGGTTAAGCAAAATTAGCAATGGTCATGAGGAATTCATGTTCAAATGTTCACTTTATAAGACAAAACATATGTCAATAGTGTTCCCTTTTATAAACCAATTATTCATTGTTATAACATACATACTGCATAAATGTCATTTGAGGCACTTCATTTCAAACAGCTTAAATTTAATCCTTTTTGCACTGTATACATGTAACTGTGAAAACCTATTTCTGATGTAAATACTTTAATTGCCTCTTAAAAGTATAAAAAAAATGTTATCGTGTCAGACAGCGATAGTTTTGGATAGGAAGTGTGTACTTGGGTGTACAGATGTTGCCAGCAAAGGTCAAGTATAAAATATTTACTAGCGATGTCATGACACACTTTTTATCATTATCTAGCTGAAGATTAACAGAGTCACTTGCAGGTAAATTAAATTTCTACTTCAACTGTACTACATGTACTTGAATATATTTATTAGATTAAAAGAAATATTCACGAAAGAAAGTATCACAGAAATGCCTTTGTATTAATTCCCTGGAACTATATTATAAAATCAGAGTCTTCTTTTTTCAATATATCAGTTCAAGTGTAATTCAAAATTTTTTTCCTACATTTTGTATTTCTCGTCAATACATTCATCTAAAAGTACAGCAGCTTACTAACTGGTCATTTTAAAAAGATGCCCCTAACTGTACATTTGCTAGTGTCACAGGGTGACAATTACTTGTTTTTATTTTATTTAGTATAATTATTTAGTACAGCTGGTATAGTAAGTCAGTATAGTAGATAGCTGTAGTAAATTCCTTCATTCATTCATTCATACCTGGTCATTCATTGTCATCGTGTTTGTATTGTATTCTGGTTTGTCCGGTGTTCCGTGTCACGTGAGTGTTTGGTTGTCACGTGATTGTCTTGTGGTTTATTTTTATCCTAGGTGTGAGTTGTAAAACCAGTATGTATGGGGTGTGGTAGTTATGTACGCATGTGTGAGTCCTGGTATATATACTTATGCACGGACTATTCCTTTTTAATCTTGACGATATATTGACGATAGTTTGGATGTTCTCCTGCGAGAAATCCACATGAGCAGTTTTTCTAAGAAATTCCTTACGGAATCTTAGTGCCTTAAATGATGTGACTGGTAAGAATAATTAATTATTTATACTGATTTTAAACTATTGAAATTAAATATATTAGTGTGTGTGAATTTGTACGAGTGTGTCATTTTCATTGCAGGTCACCTTCATTCGTTTGTTCGTTTATACTTCATCATCGTAATTGTCAGCTAATAAATATATGAACCTTAATTGAGGAACTGTGTTGAATTATTATTATTCCCTGAGATTGGGAGACCCGTGACAATGGCGCCCAACGCTGGTTTAACTTAGGAACCAGGCTGAATCCTAAGAAGAACGTCTTTGAACTGTTAAAGGTGACCAGGCCATTTCTACAAGATTTTATACGAACTACAAGTAAGCGGTTTTCAGAGAACAAGTGAAGTGCTTTTGTGTTATGAAAATTTGTGAAAATTTATCTTCAGTGTGCATATATGAAACAGAGCTCTATGTGATATCCATTCAATCCTGAGAAATTCAGCGCTGGAAACACTGAACACCCGTGTCGGCAGTTACGAGCTACACAGGGACTACTTTTACACCGAGCGCTTCGAGTAAGCAGTGTGACGTCACAACCATTCATGGATACCTCATGTGCCCGAGACGAGAGATGTTTTGGTGGATTATCCATTTAATTAACATTCGTGCCAAGAACTGTGTGTGCTGAACGATTCCTATAAACGGATAGACGCGGCCTATTCTTGGACTATCTGGAAATCGTGGTGGACTTTTCTATTTTGACTGCTGTTGACTCTGTGTGTCAGATGTTCTATTTTTAAACATTTCTACTTTCACTTTGTAGATTATTGTTGTTTTGTATGTAATATTTGTTTCATTTGTCATTTGATTGTATAATTCATTCATGTGAGTCAGCATAGCGAGATCGAGAGTGTGTTAAACAGCCTCAAAAATTTAAAACTCCTAAATAATTGAAAAAAGTAAAGGAAAGTAGGTATATCAGTGGGATTTATAGTAAGACATAGTACAGAGACTTATCTTCTTTACTAACATTTTATTTGCACTTGGTATTAAATTTTTGTGAAAAAGCAGAGAGAAATATTTGTGAGACAGAATCTTAATCTATTTTGTTTCAGAATAATCAATTTGGTTTAAATTTACAAGTTTCAGGTTTGACAAGTTTTGTGTTCTGGAGGTTGTGTTGAGTGTCATCTTTGTGTTGATCATCTTTGTGTTTCAGGATTCATCAAACTCATTATTTCATACCCCATCATTATTATAGATGTAGATTTAAGATTTATTAGTGTAGTTATTTAGAGCAAGATTTAGAGAATTTAGGCTCGATCTTTATCTAGAGAATTACAGGATTCGTGGGAAGTTATACTGATACTTGAAGTGTAAGTGACACTGTTAGAAAAATGTAGTGGTATTGATCATTAGTTTGAGATATAACTTTGTAGATTATTTTTTTTACAGGGTTTATTACATTGAACTTGATTGTATAATCTATGAAGATCTGCTTTACTTTTCTAGTCACAACAGTGTTTATTATAACAATGGCTACAGGTGGAGAGAAAGCATCAGATCATGAGTCCTGGGAAGAAGAGATTGAAAAGGGCGAAAAAGATCAAGAAAAGCTCATACATGATGTAGGTAAGATTGACCCAAAATATAAAGTCATCACAAAGGAAGAGTATGAGTATTTAATGGCTATGAAGGCCAGTACACCTCTGACAGGTCCAGGAAAAGGTTTTCCATTTCCAAGTTCTCCAATACCAGGTAAATTTCAACCTGCATTAAATCCCTCATTCAATATGTCAACTTTGCAGAGTAATTTCAATACGACTCCAAAGCTTCCGACATTTAGTGGCAGTGAGGAACTTCAAAAAGGGGAAGTGACCTATGAAGTCTGGAGTTTCGAGGTAAGGTGCCTTAGAAATTCACAGGTGTTGCCTGATGCTGTATTACTTCAGACAATTAGAAATTCCCTCAAGGGAACTGCAAGGTCAATGCTGATTTCACTCGGTGAATCAGCTACAGCAAGTCAAATTTTGGAGAAATTAGAAGGGTTTTATGGAATGGTAAGTAGTAGTGAAACTTTAATGCAACAGTTCTATAATGACTGTCAGAAAGAGAATGAGAGTATTGTGGCTTATGGTTCTAGGTTAGAATCTACACTATGTAAGGCAATCAAACAGGGTCACATAGATGACATTGCAAAAGATACAATGCTATGTAGTAAATTTTGGACTGGATTGAGAAGTAAGTCATTAAGAAATTCTACTAGATATATCTATGCAAATATAACAGAATTTCAGGTTTTGCTCAGAGAAATCAGGAAAGTAGAGCAAGAAGAGATCAACATGGAGACTGTGAACAAAGATGCCAAGTCTGCAGCTCTCCACAGCAGATCAACAGAAGCTAGCAGAGATACAACAAATCAAGAACTTCTCAAAGCAATTAAAGGTATCGAGAGGAGACTGGAAAACTTGGAAAAGAAACAAGGTAATGTAAACAATTTTCAGTTTGTGGGGAGAGGAAGGTCCTCACAAAGAGGATTTTACAGAGGACAAAGTAGAGGTAGAGGTTGGTCTAACAGGGGTAAGTACACAGATCAATCAAATCAAGGTTACCCAAAAGAGTAATCTCTTCTGTTGTGGGGCGAACGGAAGAGAGTACTGATTTATGCCCTAAAGAGTTACAGGATAGGATGATAGGTCCAACAAATGAAGCATATGTCAAAATTTGTGGGAAAGAGGTTTCAAGTCTGATAGATAGTGGTTCGATGGTTACAACCATTTCAGAGTCATTTTATAATTCTCTGGAGAACAAACCAAGTCTACATGAAATATCTGAATTTAAATTAGATGTTTATGGTGCAAATGGGGACAGTTTGCCCTATTTGGGATATGTAGAAGCAGAAATTGAAGTTCCATTCATGCAAGAACCATTATTTATTCCAGCATTGATAACTCGGGATTCAAGCTTCAATAGTAGAGTTCCGGTTATTATTGGGACAAATGTTATTAGACTTTGTGTAGATTTTACAGGTGAGTGTGAAGAAGCATGGCAAACGGCTATTAACACTATGTGTGTTAATTGCTGTGTACCTGTTAAGACAACTAATAAATATCCTATACATTTAGCTCCCAAGGAAGTGAAATACATTAGAGGAATGGTAAGAAACATGGAAGGGACAGTGAAGACTTTAATAACAGAACAGCTGGAGAACAGTCAGGCCGGAGTGGTAGTATGCCCTCGACTGGTAGCGTCCAATAGTACAAGCAAAAATAAAAGGGTCACAGTTAAGGTATGTAATATCTCGGCTAGTGCTGTTAAGATACCACCTAAGACTAACATCTGTAGTGTGAGTCAGGTAAGAGTAGTAGACACCTGGAATCCACAGCATGCAGAGACCAAACCAGTCAAGAAGAAGGATTCCACTACCAGATCATTAGCAGATTTAGGGGTGAAGGTCAACACTGACAAACTCTCTAAGGGGGAGGTAAGAGAAGCTTTGCATACTATTGGAAAATGGCAACACTTATTCTCTACATCTCCTACAGACCTAGGGAGGACAGATGTGGTCAAACATGAGATAAACCTAACCACAGAAATACCTTTCAAAGACCCATACAGACGCATTCCCCCTGGTATGATTGAAGAAGTTAGGCAGACGTTGAAAGAGATGTTGGAGGCAGGGGCCATCAGGAAGTCGAGTAGTCCTTACTGTTCTAACGTGGTTCTCTGTAGAAAGTCAGATGGATCCTTGAGATTTTGTATAGACCTGAGGAAGCTTAACAACAGGACTATCAAGGATGCGTATACTCTACCCAGAATTGAGGACACTTTAGATAGATTAGACGGATCAAGGTATTTCAGTAAATTAGATTTAAAATCAGGCTACTGGCAGGTCGAGATTCGTGAGGAAGACAAGAAAAAGACGGCCTTTACGGTAGGTCCATTAGGGTTCTTTGAATGTAACAGGATGCCGTTTGGTCTCACCAACGCTCCTGCGACATTCCAAAGACTAATGGAAATGTGTATGGGTGATATGAACCTAAAAGAATGTTTACTTTTTCTCGATGATATTCTAATTTTCTCGAGTACATTTCAGGAACATCTGGTGAGGTTGGAATCAGTTTTTCAGAGATTACATGACTACAAGTTGAAATTGAATCCAAAGAAATGTGAATTCTTCAAAAGTCAAGTTCGCTATTTGGGTCATGTTGTTTCTGAGAAAGGGATTATGACTGATCCAGAGAAAACATCAGCTTTAGAAAATTGGCCTGTTCCATGTAATGTGAAGTCATTAAGATCTTTCTTAGGGTTTACAGGGTATTATCGCAGATTCATTAAAGACTATGCAAGGATTGTAAAGCCCTTGAATGATCTGCTGATTGGACAACCTAACAACAAAGCGGCAAAGAAAAACAGAAAGAGAAAGAAAGCTGAGTGGAAATGGGGTGAGTCTGAACAACAATCTTTTGAACTCATTATTCAGAAGCTTACAAATCCTCCTATTCTTGCTTTTGCCAATTTCTCTAAGCCATTTATTTTGAACATAGATGCAAGTGTTAATGGTTTAGGGGCAGTTCTGTATCAAGAGCAGGATGGTAAGGAGCGTGTTATTGCATATGCAAGTAGGGGTTTACGGCAATCTGAGAAACATTATCCAGCACATAAGCTTGAATTTCTGTGTTTGAAATGGGCTGTTGTAGATAAATATCATGATTATTTGTATGGCAATCATTTTGATGTAAGGACAGACAATAATCCTCTTACGTATGTCACCACAACAGCCAAACTTGACGCAACATCACATCGCTGGTTGGCATCATTATCAGCATATGATTTTAAGATAACGTACAGATCAGGTAAGCTCAACAGAGACGCTGATGGGTTATCAAGAAATCCCCCTAAACAAGAACTGTTTTCAGATGTGGTTAAAGCTATTTCTCAGGCAGCATTGGTAAAGGTAAATCCCCTAGCAGAGAGTTGTGTTATTGGTAAGTCACTAGAGCCTGACAATGCTGAGAGAGCTGAGACATCACAGAAACTAAGCACTGTGAATTGGGAACTGGAACAAGGTAACGATTCTGTTATAAGTAGGGTCAAGGATCTACTTCAAAGAGGAATCAAACCAACTGGAAAAGACCTACAAGAGGAATCAAATTCAGTCAAGTTACTCTTAAGGGAATGGAAGCAACTGGTGATTGAAAGAGGAATCTTGTTTAGAAAAACTACTGTTGCTGGAGAGGAGATACGTCAGTTAGTTTTACCAAGTAAGTATAAAGACAGTGTACTCATAGGACTTCATGAGGATATGGGTCACCAAGGACGAGACCGAACGTACTGGTTGGTACTGCAGAGATTCTACTGGCCAAACATGTATACAGATGTAGTGGAAAAGGTAGAGAACTGTGACAGGTGTGTGAGGTTTAAGACGAGAGAAGTACCAAGGACAGGATTGGTTTCCATTTTTACATCAAGACCTATGGAACTGGTTTGTATGGACTTTCTGACTCTTGAGAAGTCTAAAGGTGGGTATGAGAATATACTAGTCATTACTGACCACTTTACGAGGTATGCAGTGGCTGTTCCGACCAGGAACCAATTAGCATCTACTACGGCTAAGGTACTTTATGAACATTTCATCTGCCATTACAGTTTCCCTGAGCGTATACATTCGGACCAGGGTAGGAACTTTGAAAGTTCAGTTATCAAGGAACTCTGTAAGATTGCTGGAGTAAAGAAGAGCAGAACAACTCCATACCACCCTATGGGAAATGGGCAAGTTGAAAGGTTCAACCAGACATTGCTGAAGATGTTAGGGACGTTAGACAGTGAACAGAAGCACGATTGGAAAACTTACGTTTTACCTTTAGTCAACGCCTACAACTCAACAAAGCACGAAACGACGGGATTTTCGCCGCATTACCTGATGTTTGGGTGGAACCCTAGATTAGCGATCGATGCATATCTTGGATTGGAAGAAACACCACAAAAGACCAGAAGTAGGGAGAATTATGCACAGAAGCTGAAGAAAAGACTAAACTATGCATACAAGATGGCCAGAGGTAACATTGGTAGAAACAATGTAAGGTATAAACAAGGTTATGACAGGCAGGTCCGTTTTGAAAAATTAGAAGTTGGAGATAGGGTTTTGGTAAGAACATTAGTATTTTCTGGTAGATCAAAATTAGCTGATCAGTGGGAAAGAGATCCCTACATGGTAATAGAACAGCCTGTTTCAAACATCCCAGTCTATAGAGTCAAAAATGAGATATCAGGAAAAATTAGAACATTACATAGGAATCTTTTATTACCTTTTATGTGCATTACAAAATCTTCGAATTTAGATCAACATTCAGATAACAGGGTCCCGAACGCAGTACCAGACCAGGAAGTTGCAGAATCAGAGACAGAGTCCGAATCTGAGGATGAGGAAGTTTTGGTAAGGCATAAAAGAGTCAAACCTAAACAGTATATATCTAGTGTTTCAGATAGGTCAAGGTCATCCAAGTCACTATCAAATAGAGAAGCATCGACTAGAGAAAATACAACACTGAACCGCACAGAGCCATCAACTAGGGAGACTTCAACAAGCGAAAGTATAAAGTTAACCCACATGGAACCATCTATTCCAGCTAATGTAGTAGCAGAGCCCCGCAGGTCTGCCAGAACCAAGAAAGTACCAGATAGGTATGGTTCCTGGGTGTCTCCCATAGAGACACAAGTGTGGTATGTATAAATGGGGAGAACGTCACAGGTAATCAGGATGTGTGTATATAGATTTAATATGTTGTTTTTATGTTATGTTTTTATTTTCATCTTGGATAGAACTACTATGATTTAACTTAAGATTTCACTTACAGTGACTTAGTTAATTAGGTGTGGAGTATATGGTAGTTCATAATTTTATGATTAGTTATTAAGTCTTATTATTTGATAGTTACTTAGTGTTGATAAGACTTAAGTTAGTGTAGATAAGTTTAGTAGTAGAGTATTCTCTTTAAGAAATGTCAGGAGACATTTTATTAAAGAGGGGGAGAATGTCACAGGGTGACAATTACTTGTTTTTATTTTATTTAGTATAATTATTTAGTACAGCTGGTATAGTAAGTCAGTATAGTAGATAGCTGTAGTAAATTCCTTCATTCATTCATTCATACCTGGTCATTCATTGTCATCGTGTTTGTATTGTATTCTGGTTTGTCCGGTGTTCCGTGTCACGTGAGTGTTTGGTTGTCACGTGATTGTCTTGTGGTTTATTTTTATCCTAGGTGTGAGTTGTAAAACCAGTATGTATGGGGTGTGGTAGTTATGTACGCATGTGTGAGTCCTGGTATATATACTTATGCACGGACTATTCCTTTTTAATCTTGACGATATATTGACGATAGTTTGGATGTTCTCCTGCGAGAAATCCACATGAGCAGTTTTTCTAAGAAATTCCTTACGGAATCTTAGTGCCTTAAATGATGTGACTGGTAAGAATAATTAATTATTTATACTGATTTTAAACTATTGAAATTAAATATATTAGTGTGTGTGAATTTGTACGAGTGTGTCATTTTCATTGCAGGTCACCTTCATTCGTTTGTTCGTTTATACTTCATCATCGTAATTGTCAGCTAATAAATATATGAACCTTAATTGAGGAACTGTGTTGAATTATTATTATTCCCTGAGATTGGGAGACCCGTGACACTAGCAACTGCTAGCAATAATGTTACTACAATGAACATATTATCATACGTCAATTAAATTAGAACATTTTGACATTGGTGACAATAAGTGCTGAGACGATAGCTCCCCCTCCTGCAAAGTGAGGGACAGAATTTATGACCTTTATTGTAACATATATTTCAAAGGTTTCGTTCTAAGGAAATTTTCCTGTAAACAGACTCATGTATGATATTTAAGGAGAATGATACAAAAAAAATTTATATTGTGCCTGACAATTATTTTTAATATAAATTAGTATTGCTTTTCATTTTCCTTAAGAAACATACTTCAAGTGATTTACATGACATTTTTGAAGAGGTTTTTCTATACTGTCACAAATGTATTGTTTCACAACAAACTCTAAATAATGTTGAATCACACCAAAAACAGTTATATCACAGTCCAAAAGTAGTTATAACACCATCCCGATCATCATCATATGCCTTCCTGGTATACATTTTTGCTCGGGTTCGAGATTTAATGACGTAAGCTGCTAAGCAACCCAATCGCAACTTCTCGGGCCTTTCCGACTAGCGGAAAAAAAACCTCGAATGTACATGGTAGCTACAATGATAACCCCCCCTTTTTCACGATCTTTGAAATCTGTGGGATATGGAGTTTAGCTTTATTCAAAGTAATGACATTACCTAAAACATACCATAGAAGAGACTTCTAATTCCGTATATCCTATATTTGAATAAACAGAAAACGAATAAATTTTTAACATCCGGTGATGTTAATACATTGGAGATTGTTTTTCCGAACTCTGACGGAGAGACCCGAGATGATGCGATTGAAGCAAACCTAGCAACGCAGCGTAATTCCTAACGTCACGAATCTTCAGCATCAGGTGACATGATATTCCAGGGTTCTCCTCTTCCTTTGGCATTGGATGATAAAATACTCCAGAACTTTTCTATCACCTGAGGGCAGATATTCTTCTATTACATTCGAAGCTATGTGTTATATCAATATTCAATTATTTCTTAATTAAGAGACACATTTCTCTTTCTAAAAAAAAATTGTGTCCGGGTCAACATAAAAACCTTTAAAACGACACTATATCAGATTTTAATTTGAGGCCATCACCAAAAAAGTTACCCAACTAGCTTCCAATAATTAGATATCATACCAAAAACTAATGAATAACTATCTTCTAAATTGGTATTTTCCACCGTTAATTAAGAAATAAGATATCATTTTTAGAGTTGCATTGGGGTAACGCCCGAAGGGCGTTATAGTAGATTTCTTATATTCATATTTTACGTTTTCATTCATTTTACAAACAAATATAGGCATTATTTAGACTTAGATTTTGAAATGCAACGTAACGTTACTACGACGTTATGTGACGTCACAGTCGGAACTTTCCAAATTGCACGTGCAGTTTGCTTTCCATACGCAAGAAAGTCTGATCATGTGACCGACTGCATGTCATCGAAAATTGAATGTCATTTTTTTAGTATTGTCATATAAGGAAAGACATTGGCAAAAGTAAATATTGCTGATTTAACGGTCGCAAACGCTTACGCGTCGTCGGTAAAACTCAGTTTGCGACCCTTAAATTTGCATTAACGGTCACAAATACCAAATTAAAAGATAAGTTCTTCCCATTCGAATGCAATTCATGCATTTTTATTGTTTACGTTTTATTTTGTTGAATTCTGTTATATGAAATACGTTATGGAGCATTGTGTTTTGCGTCGCTCTATTATGATGTCATATCGAAAAAGCTTTCGCTCTGAATGCTCGTTTTACTGCTTCGAACGACAGTGCATTAGCCAATCAAAACATGTTTTAAAAAACAATTGCATTAGAATTAGTTTTCATACCTTAGATTTGCAGGAATATTGACCAAGTATTTTTTATCCAAAGTAGTTAGTTAGTATGATCCTTAATTACGCACTTTGAAAATCAACTTCCTTTTTTTAAGTGTGTTTATTTTGTCAAAAATTTAACGCACATTGAAAAAAAAAGTTCTATGTGCATTGTTACAATGACTACGTAACGAGCTGATGTGGTTAGCACATCGATAAGATTAAAAAAAATAAGTTTAATGAGTAATTAAGGGACTATAAAGTTGATACATGAAGTCTTAGAAGATAATATTCTGACAAACGACACCGTCTCTCTACTTTAGTCAGTAGAGCGCTCCCTGGCTGATCAGAAAGTCTTGAGTTCGAATCTCGGCCGAGACTGACAAAGATTGCACAATGTTGACAGTTGCACTTTTGTTAATGCATGTTCTAACCTTGTATTATGTATCTCATGTGTTTCACTTAATTTTACTGTTGATTTTATGCAATCATGTTATCCGAATTTCCGGATCACGAGAATGTGTTTTCTAAATCCATATCACCCCTTTCTAAAACTAATTGCGAAGTACACAGAAACATGTCATTATTTTTCTTGCGCATTTAAAAGTCTCTTGTTATTATGCTTTTTTTTTTTTTTTTTTTTTGGATAATATTTCTACAATGAAACCTATGGAGAAAGGGAATAGTATTTAAGATTTAAAAAAAATCTATATGTAGCTAAGGTCATTTATAAATACAATTATAACAGTAATTAATGATCCAAAGAGCCGTTTTACGACTCGTTGACAGGCGCCACGTACGAGCAGATGATCCGCACCTTTCAACTCAACGTGATACAACCCTTCGGATCTAGATAGTGTTATAATAAAATATATTCATTTATTTTACCTATAAAATGGATTAATTTTAACAATGTACTTTAGTTTTAACAGTTATTCTGACTCCTTTAATGTTTCAATGTTTACATGTTATGTAACTCGATCAAATAAACTCCGAAAATGTATGAGCAAGCTAAAAACTGAAAAAAATGATGCCCATTATATACATGTATCCTTTAAAATTAAAAGAAAAACTGTCATCACTTATTTCAAAAACTTTGAAATTTAATAATAATTAAGAGATTTTCGCGAATGTCCAGTTGGAATTCGAATAACGATGTCCAGATTGTCAATTATCTTTTAATTTGAGGTAAATACACATATCTAAACCTTCTAAAAATAAATCTAAAGATACCTTTTTTAACTGTAGATGAATCCGTAAACTGAACGTCTATGAAAACCATGATGGCGACGTGTATGATTTTCAAACTTTTGTTCTGGAGCTTCCTAATTACAGTATTTATGACAAATTTAAATTATGGTCAAAGTCATTTGGTAACGGACACTTTTTCAAGACAAAAGGAAACCGTTCTACTAAAGGAAATACTTCAACTTGTCAAAAACCAAGCAAAGAAAATGCAAACCTTAGAGAGAGAGCTTACATCTATCAATGATCAACTCTCCAAGTGTAAGTATCTAAAGATTTTTCTTCTAAACAAAACTATGTAATTATAACTTCGTCAATATTGTAAATGTGAATGATAAAGCAATGAGTGGCAATCGAGCATCACTGTAGACAAAAAAGGATTTGTTTTAAAATAACTGCTTGATTTTTATTTTTTTTTTTCTCCACTCAAAGCTGTAACACATTTGTGTCTACGCTTATGTCTGCAAAAAGTTTGACTTGTAACATGCAATAAAGGCTTATACTTAATTTATTTATAAAGTTATAAAGACTTTTTTAATGTCTTTATAAAATCAGTTTTCGTCAAAGGTAAGAATGTAACATGAACTGAAATGTTTTGATTCAGTAGACATACATGTATAAGATGACATGCTTATGTTTAATATATTTTGTTTCAGGCCTTTCCATATCAAGATCATTTCCTTCTGGACGCCATGGTAAAAAAAAACTATCAGTTTTACATCAAATTACTGAAGCTTTAATTTTTAGACCTTATTTCACTACATATTTATCAACAAAAAACTATCCTGAATACTACGAAGGGATTTGATTTTATCAGGTTTTTTTTCATTTTTTTTTAAATTTTAAACCGATAACTATAGTTTCTAAAATACACCACTGATTGTTTATTCTTTGGTCTACACCATGACTCCTTCCTTTTTTTTTTTTTTTTTTTTACAAAATTTGAATATTTCTTATTCAATATTTTTACCCTGTCAATAAGTTTATGAGAGAAATAAATCATCTTATATCTTCATAAATGATTCACATACTATAGACAATCTTTGTCACGCTTAAATGCTTATATTATTTATAATACACGTTGTTTTATTTGGACAATATATCGAAGGTTATAATCATCATTATTTAGCATCGTTATCATCATAATTGCCATAAAATGTCTATAAACATACATGTAATTATTAACATCGTCATTTTTTGTGTAAAATTATATCATTATCAGTCATTTTCATCATCATCAACATTATCATTATAAAGAAGCTTATACAATGTGTAAATGAATGTTCGTCATTAATCATGTTCGTCACGACTTTCTAAGTAGTTAGTTGATAATTTTAAAATAACCCTGTGAACTATAGATTCGAAAAAGAAAAGAAAAAAAGTAGATTCGCAGAAAAAAACAAATCTTGCTAAAGAAAACTGTTAATTAACCTGAGAAATATCATGCATTTTCCAAATTGCAATACAGATTAAGCCATGTAACGTTCTCTTAATTTTAGAGTTATTGGCTTTCATTTCTTTCAAAAGACAATGATTTCCTTAAAAAAAAACTTTTTAAGTCTATTTTTTATGAAGTTTTTCACATAATATCATTCTTGAGAATTCAAAAACATGTGATTACAAACCAGATTCTCATTTTTTTTAAAAAATATTATCATAAAAAGTAAAGTTCAACAGTTTCTGTAAGTGAAAACGGGTTAAGTAATCCTGAATCGATTCATTTTATTTAGACGAGGAACAGCAAGATACGACAACATCTTTAATCTCAAGAGAAAATTCAACAACCCTTGAAACAAATCCAACTATACAGTTAACATCAGCTTCTGATATACCGGTTGTAGAAACGGAAGGAGAAACTGCAACTAGGCAGGATTCTTTATCAACAAGAGATACAGCAACATCTGCAGGTAATATTCACTTATTTCATTTTACACGTATTGGGAAAGCTTTCTATAATTTATTTTTTTGTTTTAGAATTTCCTTTGTAGTTCTAATGGTTTGTTTTACTCTGTATTATCACTAAAAATATCAATAAAGGAAGGGGGTTTCGAATTCGTTTAAGAATAAATAATATTTTTTTCTTTCAAAATCCTGGTACATGTCTTTGTCCTTAATTAGGTGTCTCTCTCATTTGTGAAGTATTCTTTAGTTATGCAGCTTAATGTCCGGACATGCCACATTTTGGTTAAAAGAGCAAAATGTGACTTTGTACTTTAGTATGCCTTTTAAACATTTTTAATTTTGAATAAAGTTTTTTGCTGCAAAGTGTTTTAGGACATTTTGAAAAAAATGGTACGTGGGTTGATCCAAAAGTTCGCAGAATTTCTATTTAAAATTTTATCTTAATTGTTTGAAAGCAATCAATTGACATATGTATAAAAATGAGCTACATTATATCAATAAAGGAAAATTTCTTCATGTTCTGATGACAATAAAGGCCATACGAGCATTCTTAATATGGACAGTTTAAAAAAATTCTAGGGAGATTTTGAGGTAACGTCGAGTTGGGTTTGTAACGTCACCATCTTGTAAATATCTACTTAAACATACCAGAGAATTGTGTATTTTCCCCATTCTTTCCTCAAAAAAGAATTTGTATCCTCTCGTACTTACATTCCTTCTGTTAAAGTTATTTCTAGAATTCAATCTTAAGCTTTCCATTGATGTTCAGATTTTAATTGTATTGTTAAACACAGTATGTCAATGGTCCTTGGCCATTAAAGCTTTATTTTTCAGTGAAGAAAAACATATTTCAGAAGGAGTTCACAGTTAACCTACTCCATGGGAGATTTACTTTCCTTAATTTTTTACCCCACTGAAAAACAAGTCCCTTTGCCTGTCTGTATCAGATCAGTAGTATATGCGTTTATGCGTAATATACGTTTATAATATGACTGAATTTTGACATTGACATGATTAACGACAAATCGTCAATTAATAAACTACAAAATAAATATCCAGTAAAATTTGAAAATTTCTCACACGAAGGTTTATAATAGGTTTAGCAATTGTTCCTCGCTTTTAGATTTAGGATTAAAATTAAAATGAACGATTAAATTTTTCCAACGCATTTTTGATATCCTTTTTTATTGCAGCTGTCAAAGTGTTACCATGAAGAATTGTAAGGAAATTTTTTTATTTGGAATTTTCAAGAAATTTATATATATTTTCATCTTTATTTTTTTCACTTTTGCAAATAAATAAATAAAATATGTTGGAATTCCACTAACTTTTTTGATCAACCTTCGCATATTTGTACCTCATATTTATACATTTACATAGTGTTTATTTTTAACTTGAAAGATATATTTGAAAAATACCAGCGTAACTTTTCTATGTCGAAGGTAAGAAAACATATTTGTGGTATCTATACTTAATTCAAAATTTGTAAGAGAGTTATTAGGTAAAATAGCAAACATTGCGTTTCAATGAAAAAGCAATTAGCAATGCACGCACTGAAATGATTTTTTCATCAAATGCTTTTCATATTTAAGTACATCTAAAAAATAAGATTAAAATTAAATATGTCCAAAAGAAGCCAATTTAACAGCTCTCCTCTTTCGATGTAATACAGGGAGAGATGTCAAATATGTAAGTCCTATCATCTGTCATCAACCTGTCATCAAAGGTATTCACTTAAATGATTTTTTTTAAAATTAGAAGATCAAACATGAAAATAAAGGTTCTAAAATCTAAGAATAATACATGTTATATTCCTCGCCTGTTTGACAGCTAGAGAGTGAATTTGGAGGGTCAACCTAATTAAGGCCTACCACACACTAGGATGTTCTCCAATATAGAGGCTTGCCATAGTTGGTTGGCTTTCTAGTCCGTCCAGGCCGCTGTACACATTGTCCGTCCTGAATAAGGCATCTTACAATGGGTGTAGTGGTTGAAGGGCTATCACATCTACTGTCCGTCCTTAGGGATATATCCTACAGTATAATGCTCAAGTCCGAGGGCGACTGGGCATATTATTTCAGTGTACATAAGGTTTTGACTCACCATTTAATTGTAGATTGCCTCCGATTATTATTGAGACTTACTGGTAATTATTGTTTACCTAGATCATGTTAGGACATATTTGTATATTTCTGCAGTCCAAAAAGATATACCAATTATTTTCAATCATTTAATGTTGAACAACCCAAACCCTGGAAATGACCAGGTACGATCTCCTTTGATTAATTGTAAATACGTTACAGTACCTAAGTTTTAATTATTATTCTTACGCCTTGAAAGTTTCAATACTTACATGTCATGTAACTCAATCAAACTAATTCTGAAAATGTGTGACCAAGCTCCAAATTGAAAAAAAGAAATAATTGCCACCACATACATGTATCCCTTACAATGTTAATGAAAAATTGTCATTATTTATTTAAAAGAGTTGAAATTACATAACAATGGAGAGATTTTGGCGAATGACAAATAGGAATCCATTTATTGTTCCAATTGTTCAACTTGTCAATTATCTTTTAATTAAATAATTCAACTTGTAAAAAACCAAGCAAAGAAAATGCAAACCTTAGAGAGAGAGCTTACATCTATCAATGATAAACTCTCTAAGTGTAAGTATCTAAAGGTTTTTCTTCTAAAAGACACTGAAATTATAACTGCATCAATATTTAGTGCAAATGTGAATTATAAAGCAATGTGCTCAATTGCGCATCATTGTAGACAAAACAAAATATTAAAAGATAAGAAAAATCAGCATTTAATAGCTTTTGGTAATTGATAAAATATGATATTTTATGTTTTCTCAACTTCAAGCTGAGACACACTAGTTTTTACTGTTATGTTTCCAAAAAGTATGACTTGTTAATTACAATATAAACCTATGCTTAACTTATTTATAAGGACTGGTTTGCAACTTAAAAAAAATCTTTATGAAAGCAGAGCTTCCGTCAAAGGTTAAAATGTTAATTGAACTTTTATGTTTTAACTCAGCATACATACACATATATGATGACATGCTAATGTTTTATATATTTATTTTCAGGCATTTCCATATCAAGATCATTTTCTTCTGGACGCAATGGTAAAAAAAAACTATCAATTTTACCTCAAATTCCTAAAGCTTTAAATTTTTTTAGACCTTATTTCAATACATACTTATCAACGACAAACTATTCCGAATTCTAGGAAAAGATTTTTTCAAAAGTTTTCATTTTTCTTTTTTTTTTTTACACATAACTATAGTTTCTAAAAAACACCACTGATTGTTTATTCTTTGGTCTACACTTTTATTACTCATGATTACTAATGATTCGAATACTATAGAATGCTTAAATGCTTATATTGCTTATAATACACGTTGTATTATCCTTACAAAATATATAAAAAAAAGTTAAAATCATCATTATTTATCATCATGACCATGAAAAGTCAACAAACATAATCATTAACAGCAACATTATATGTGTGAAATTATATCATCATCAGTCATATTCGTCATCAACATTATCATTATAACGAAAGTTATACAACGTGTAAATGTATGATCGTCAATTATCATGATCGTCACGACTTTCTAAGTATTTGTTTGATTATTTTAAAATAACCAAATAAACTATATATTCGGGTATTGAAAAAAATAATGTAATATTATCATGAGTTCTTTTGCATAAAAAAAAAGATTCGCAGAAGAAAAAAAAAACCGTGCTAAAGAAAACATGTTAATAAACCCGAGAAATACCAGGCATTTTTCCAAACTGCAATAAAATTGGAATTGGAAAATCAAACAGAACAGGACATGTGACAGTCACATTTTCTCAACTTTAGAGTTATTGGTTTTCCTTTGTTTCGAAAGACAATGATTTCCTTAAAAATACTTTTGAAGTCTAATTTTATGACGTTTTTCACATTTAATTATTATAAAGAATTCAAGAAGATGTGATTACTAAAATATGAAGAAATACGCACGCTAACTCTCGATTCTCGCCTACATTTTGGAACCATTTAATTCAATATAAATAGCAATTTGGCCATAAAAGCTTTGCTTGATACAAAGAACAGTTCAATGGTAATTGAATAATTGTCTTAATACAAGCGCTAAACAGTAAATTATCCATAATTCCAGCTCTTGAAAAAAGGGGGGTAGACGATATTTTCCACTAAAATCAGAGTTTCAAGCATCACCATATTTTGAAATAGTCTTGGAAAAAATTAAGTGTTCTTTATATCTTTTCTTACGATTTAGACAGATAAAAAAAACATAAATATATCAATAAAATATAATGTTTCAGATGTAAATCGCTTTGAAATTGGTGGAATATAAGCATTTTTATCGTTTTTGTCAATAAACATATGACCCCCCCCCCCTCCGTGTCACACAAAAAGCTTTGGTATGAGTTTGTGAAATAATATTCCAAATGACCTGTAAAAAGGAATTTTTGTGACACGGGGGGGGGGGTGTCATTTTAAAAATATTTTCCGTTTTCCGTTGATTTTCATAGTGTAAAACACAAGTTTTACCAAAATGTTTGAATTATCCTTTTTTTCCCCAAATAAGTAATTTTTTATGACAATCCATAAAATTCTATATAAAAAATATCAAAAATTAATCGAATATGTTTACTTTTTGAAAATTGACTTGTAGGTCTACGGGAGAACAATTCTGTCGTTGGCAGTTCTGTCTTTTCTTTTTATGAAAAAAATATTATTATAAAAGTAGCGTTCAACAGTTTCTGTAAGTGAAAATGGGTATAGTAATCCTGAACTGATTGTCATTATTTAGACAAGGAACAGCAAGGTACGACAACATCTTTAGTCTCAAGAGAACAATCGACAATCCTTGAAACAAATTCAGCTATACAGTTGACATCAGCTTCTGATATACCCGTTGTAGAAACGGAAGGAGAAACTGCAACTAGGCTGGATTCTTTATCAACAAGAGATACAGCAACATCTGCAGGTAATATTCACTTATTTCATTTTACACGTATTGGGAAAGCTTTCTATAATTTATTTTTTTGTTTTAGAATTTCCTTTGTAGTTCTAATGGTTTGTTTTACTCTGTATTATCACTAAAAATATCAATAAAGGAAGGGGGTTTCGAATTCGTTTAAGAATAAATAATATTTTTTTCTTTCAAAATCCTGGTACATGTCTTTGTCCTTAATTAGGTGTCTCTCTCATTTGTGAAGTATTCTTTAGTTATGCAGCTTAATGTCCTGACATGCCACATTTTGGTTAAAAGAGCAAAATGTGACTTTGTACTTTAGTATGCCTTTTAAACATTTTTAATTATGAATAAAGTTTTTTGCTGCAAAGTGTTTTAGGACATTTTGAAAAAAATGGTATGTGGGTTGATCCAAAAGTTCGCAGAATTTCTATTTAAAATTTTATCTTAATTGTTTGAAAGCAATCAATTGACATATGTATAAAAATGAGCTACATTATATCAATAAAGGAAAATTTCTTCATGTTCTGATGACAATAAAGGCCATACGAGCATTCTTAATATGGACAGTTTAAAAAAATTCTAGGGAGATTTTGAGGTAACGTCGAGTTGGGTTTGTAACGTCACCATCTTGTAAATATCTACTTAAACATACCAGAGAATTGTGTATTTTCCCCATTCTTTCCTCAAAAAAGAATTTGTATCCTCTCGTACTTACATTCCTTCTGTTAAAGTTATTTCTAGAATTCAATCTTAAGCTTTCCATTGATGTTCAGATTTTAATTGTATTGTTAAACACAGTATGTCAATGGTCCTTGGCCATTAAAGCTTTATTTTTCAGTGAAGAAAAACATATTTCAGAAGGAGTTCACAGTTAACCTACTCCATGGGAGATTTACTTTCCTTAATTTTTTACCCCACTGGAAAACAAGTCCCTTTGCCTGTCTGTATCAGATCAGTAGTATATGCGTTTATGCGTAATATACGTTTATAATATGACTGAATTTTGACATTGACATGATTAACGACAAATCGTCAATTAATAAACTACAAAATAAATATCCAGTAAAATTTGAAAATTTCTCACACGAAGGTTTATAATAGGTTTAGCAATTGTTCCTCGCTTTTAGATTTAGGATTAAAATTAAAATGAACGATTAAATTTTTCCAACGCATTTTTGATATCCTTTTTTATTGCAGCTGTCAAAGTGTTACCATGAAAAATTGTAAGGAATTTTTTTTATTTGGAATTTTCAAGAAATTTATATATATTTTCATCTTTATTTTTTTCACTTTTGCAAATAAATAAATAAAATATGTTGGAATTCCACTAACTTTTTTGATCAACCTTCGCATATTTGTACCTCATATTTATACATTTACATAGTGTTTATTTTTAACTTGAAAGATATATTTGAAAAATACCAGCGTAACTTTTCTATGTCGAAGGTAAGAAAACATATTTGTGGTATCTATACTTAATTCAAAATTTGTAAGAGAGTTATTAGGTAAAATAGCAAACATTGCGTTTCAATGAAAAAGCAATTAGCAATGCACGCACTGAAATGATTTTTTCATCAAATGCTTTTCATATTTAAGTACATCTAAAAAATAAGATTAAAATTAAATATGTCCAAAAGAAGCCAATTTAACAGCTCTCCTCTTTCGATGTAATACAGGGAGAGATGTCAAATATGTAAGTCCTATCATCTGTCATCAACCTGTCATCAAAGGTATTCACTTAAATGATTTTTTTTTTAAATTAGAAGATCAAACATGAAAATAAAGGTTCTAAAATCTAAGAATAATACATGTTATATTCCTCGCCTGTTTGACAGCTAGAGAGTGAATTTGGAGGGTCAACCTAATTAAGGCCTACCACACACTAGGATGTTCTCCAATATAGAGGCTTGCCATAGTTGGTTGGCTTTCTAGTCCGTCCAGGCCGCTGTACACATTGTCCGTCCTGAATAAGGCATCTTACAATGGGTGTAGTGGTTGAAGGGCTATCACATCTACTGTCCGTCCTTAGTGATATATCCTACAGTATAATGCTCAAGTCCGAGGGCGACTGGGCATATTATTTCAGTGTATATAAGGTTTTGACTCACCATTTAATTGTAGATTGCCTCCGATTATTATTGAGACTTACTGGTAATTATTGTTTACCTAGATCATGTTAGGACATATTTGTATATTTCTGCAGTCCAAAAAGATTATACCAATTATTTTCAATCATTTAATGTTGAACAACCCAAACCCTGGAAATGACCAGGTACGATCTCCTTTGATTAATTGTAAATACGTTACAGTACCTAAGTTTTAATTATTATTCTTACGCCTTGAATGTTTCAATATTTACATGTCATGTAACTCAATCAAACTAATTCTGAAAATGTGTGACCAAGCTCCAAATTGAAAAAAAGAAATAATTGCCACCACATACATGTATCCCTTACAATGTTAATGAAAAATTGTCATTATTTATTTAAAAGAGTTGAAATTATATAACAATGGAGAGATTTTGGCGAATGACAAATAGGAATCCATTTATTGTTCCAATTGTTCAACTTGTCAATTATCTTTTAATTAAATAATTCAACTTGTAAAAAACCAAGCAAAGAAAATGCAAACCTTAGAGAGAGAGCTTACATCTATCAATGATAAACTCTCTAAGTGTAAGTATCTAAAGGTTTTTCTTCTAAAAGACACTGAAATTATAACTGCATCAATATTTAGTGCAAATGTGAATTATAAAGCAATGTGCTCAATTGCGCATCATTGTAGACAAAACAAAATATTAAAAGATAAGAAAAATCAGCATTTAATAGCTTTTGGTAATTGATAAAATATGATATTTTATGTTTTCTCAACTTCAAGCTGAGACACACTAGTTTTTACTGTTATGTTTCCAAAAAGTATGACTTGTTAATTACAATATAAACCTATGCTTAACTTATTTATAAGGACTGGTTTGCAACTTAAAAAAAATCTTTATGAAAGCAGAGCTTCCGTCAAAGGTTAAAATGTTAATTGAACTTTTATGTTTTAACTCAGTATACATACACAAATATGATGACATGCTAATGTTGTATATATTTATTTTCAGGCATTTCCATATCAAGATCATTTTCTTCTGGACGCAATGCTAAAAAAAAACTATCAATTTTACCTCAAATTCCTAAAGCTTTAAATTTTTTTTAGACCTTATTTCAATACATACTTATCAACGACAAACCATTCCGAATTCTAGGAAAAGATTTTTTCAAAAGTTTTCATTTTTCTTTTTTTTTTTTACACATAACTGTAGTTTCTAAAAAACACCACTGAATGTTTATTCTTTGGTCTACACTTTTATTACTCATGATTACTAATGATTCGAATACTATAGAATGCTTAAATACTTATATTGCTTATAATACACGTTGTATTATCCTTACAAAATATAAAAAAAAATTAAAATCATCATTATTTATCATCATGACCATAAAAAGTCAACAAACATAATCATTAACATCAACATTATATGTGTGAAATTATATCATCATCAGTCATATTCGTCATCAACATTATCATTATATATTATATCGTTATACAACGTGTAAATGTATGATCGTCAATTATCATGATCGTCACGACTTTCTAAGTATTTGTTTGATTATTTTAAAATAACCAAATAAACAATAAATTCGGGTATTGAAAAAAATAATGTAATATTATCATGAGTTCTTTTGCATAAAAAAAAAAGATTCGCAGAAGAAAAAAAAAACCGTGCTAAAGAAAACATGTTAATAAACCCGAGAAATACCAGGCATTTTTCCAAACTGCAATAAAATTGGAATTGGAAAATCAAACAGAACAGGACATGTCACAGTCACATTTTCTCAACTTTAGAGTTATTGGTTTTCCTTTGTTTCGAAAGACAATGATTTCCTTAAAAATACTTTTGAAGTCTAATTTTATGACGTTTTTCACATTTAATTATAAAGAATTCAAAAAGATGTGATTACTAAAATATGAAGAAATACGCACGCTAACTCTCGATTCTCGCCTACATTTTGGAACCATTTAATTCAATATAAATAGCAATTTGGCCATAAAAGCTTTGTTTAATACAAAGAACAGTTCAATGGTAATTAATAAATTGTCTTAATACCAGCGCTAAACAGTAAATTATCCATAATTGCAGCTCTTGAAAAAAGGGGGGTAGACGATATTTTCCACTAAAATCAGAGTTTCAAGCATCACCATATTTTGAAATAGTCTTGGAAAAAATTAAGTGTTCTTTATATCTTTTCTTACGATTTAGACACATAAATATATCAATAAAATATAATGTTTCAGATGTAAATCGCTTTGAAATTGGTGGAATATAAGCATTTTTATCGTTTTTGTCAATAAACATATGACCCCCCCCCTCCGTGTCACACAAAAAGCTTTGGTATGAATTTGTGAAATTATATTCCAAATGACCTGTAAAAAGGAATTTTTGTGACACGGGGGGGGGGGTGTCATTTTAAAAATATTTTCCGTTTTCCGTTGATTTTCATAGTGTAAAACACAAGTTTTACCAAAATGTTTGAATTATCCTTTTTTTTTCCCAAATAAGTAATGTTTTATGACAATCCATAAAATTATATATAAAAAATATCAAAAATTAATCGAATATGTTTACTTTTTGAAAATTGACTTGTAGGTCTACAGGAGAACAATTCTGTCGTTGGCAGTTCTTTCTTTTCTTTTTATGAAAAAAATATTATTATAAAAGTAGCGTTCAACAGTTTCTGTAAGTGAAAATGGGTATAGTAATCCTGAACTGATTGTCATTATTTAGACAAGGAACAGCAAGGTACGACAACATCTTTAGTCTCAAGAGAACAATCGACAATCCTTGAAACAAATTCAGCTATACAGTTGACATCAGCTTCTGATATACCCGTTGTAGAAACGGAAGGAGAAACTGCAACTAGGCTGGATTCTTTATCAACAAGAGATACAGCAACATCTGCAGGTAATATTCACTTATTTCATTTTACACATATTGGGAAAGCATCCTATAATTATTTTTTTTTATTTTAGAATTTCCTTTATAATTCTTGTGGTTTGTTTTACTCTGTGTTATTACTAAAATATCAATAAAGGCATTGGATTTCAAATACCTTTAAGAATAAATAACACAAACAATTTGTTTCTTTTCAAAATCCACATACATGATTCTGTGTTAAATAAGGTTTCTAATTTAATTGTGAAGTAATCTTTACCTATACAGCTTAATGTACGACCAAGCCACATAATTTGATGAAAAGTGCAAAATGTATATTTGCAGTTTAATGTACTGTTTAAAAAGTTTTAAATACGAACGAAGTCTCTTGCTGGAAAGTTTCTAAGGACATTTTTTTTTCAAAAGTGAACCTGGGTTGCTCCAAATTCAGTAGAATTTCTTTCTCAATTAAAGCGCTCGCTTTCGTGATCGGGAGGTCGTGAGCTCGAATTTCGGCAGCGACTGACCTAAGTCGATCAAAAATGGGTAGCAACAATTCCTCCGCAATGCACTCAGCATCAGATCAGTAGTATATGCGTTTACGCGTAATATGTGTTTATCATGTGACTGAATCTCTACGTTGTCTATTAATGGTATGATGAACGGCAAATAATTAATTAATAAACTTAAAACTTAATATCCAGTAAAATTTGAAAGTTTCTCACACGAAGGTTTATAATAGGTCTAGCAATTGTTCCTTGCTTTTAGATTAAGCATTGAAATGGCAATGAACGATTAAAATTTTCCAAAGCATTTTTTAATATCCTTTTTCATTGCAACTGTTGAAGTGTTACTATGAAAAATGTTGAAGATATTATTTATTTGAAAAATTCAGCAAGTACATTTATTTTCTTTATTCTTTTGCAAATAAATAAATAAAGTATGAAGAAATTCCACGAAATTTTGGATCAATCCTCGGATATTTGTACATCATATTTATGCATCTGCATAGTGATAATTTTTAACTTGAAAGAAATATTTGAAAAATACCAGTGTTACTTTTCTGTGTCGAAGATAAGAAAACATATTTGTTGCTTTTATCCTTAATGCAAATTTTGTAAAAGAGTTATCAAGTAAAATAGCAAACACTGCGTTTTAATGAAAAACAATGCACGCAATGAGGTGAGCTTTTCAGCAATTGTTATCGTCATATTTAAGTATATCTTAGAATTAATAATTTAATTCAAATATGTTCAAAACAAGCCAAATAAAAGACTTGCTGTTCTCCTATTTTGGTGTAATGCAGAAAGAGTTGTCAAATATATAGGCCCTATAACATGTCATTCAAAAGTAATCACTAAAATTAAAGTTGTTTGAAAGTTAGATCAAAAATGAAGATAAAGGTGCCTAAAATCTAAGAATATTCGAAAACATCTTTTAACAGGAAATTCGCATGTCAAGTACCCAAACCCTGTTTCTTCTAAAATAAAAAGGTTATAAGGAAAGAAAATATCTTGTAAAGTAGGTCAAAACTTCAAAAGTCTATGCTAAAGGGTAAAAATCATTATGTATATGTAGAATAATTTTTTTCACGGGTTTAACACATGTATGGTATGAAATTAATATATCTTCTTTTTTCAAAAGTTATGATAAATTTAATGAAATATTAATTTTTTGAAAAGAAAGTAAAAACTTAAAGGTCAAGGAGTCAAAAATCATATTAGATTTAGAAAGGTCTGGTCACATATAATGTACCTATGAATATCAGCTCTTTTTCTTCTCATTCAAACGTTATGACCAAGGATAACGTTTTTGTGACAGAGAAACAGATTGGTAAATTCTGAGGGGAAAAAACGGTCAGATAAAAAAATGAAATTCATTGGAATCTTTATCAATTTCAGGGCCATATGATATGTGATTGATACTGGTTTTACAAACAAGTCAAAGTACATATTTTTCTTTCATTTTTTAAAATCTATATACATTGAAAAATGTGTTTAAAGTCATTTTTAAAAGAATTATTTCAAATAGTTAGACGGTTTTACTGAACAACTTATAAATTTATTAAAATGTTTTACTTATGAATCTTTTCACTATTCTTAAAAGAAATGTTGATGGATTAATAGTTGGGGATGTAGTTTTTTTAACATTTATTTTACCTCTACTGATTTTCCACTATATATAAGTAAATCAATATATTTTGCCGATTTCCTTAAAATCTCCGTGAATTAACGAATTCCTTGCAAAACAGACTGATTCCCTGCAAAAAGTACGTTTTTTATGAACTGATACACACCAATTCGGAACACTTAGCATTTTTTACAACTTACAACAAACTGAATATAGCTTTTTCAAATGTCTTGTTTGTATCGGTATAATACAACAGTTGAGGTATATCATTTCGGGAGTCAGCAAGATTCCAGTTCCCCTCGAGCAATCCTATTTCTCTCGGCGCAAGCGCCTCAGAAATAGACTTGCTCTTGGGGAACTGGAATCTTGCTGACTACCTCAATGATGCACTTTAACTGTATATTGCCATCTGTGAATTTCAAACAACAATCCGCATCTAGGATAAGGCTGCCCGTAAAATATCAAACTGTTCAAACTGTTGTAACTTCTCTGGACAACCTATATATGACGTCATAATAGAATATGACGTCAAGTCACTGCATACTTGAGCTGACATGACGGGGAAGGTGTCATAATTATTACACGGCATGTAGGACTATTACTGGGACTTGTTTTTAATTCAAGAGAATGGGTTGTTTTTAAGCTCGTGTGTGCTGTTATAATGTTTAACATTTGATATTTAAACATCTTTATTCCTTTTGCTTGTCCGATATGCACATATTCAAGCAATAGCAAAAAATTATGTTTGAAACGCTCCCCTTACACTTCCGTAGACAGAGTTAGAATTGATGAATCGTGTTTATATTGGACTGGCACAAGTGAAAGACAAGGATAAAATGAAGATATTCTGCGTGAATCTAAAAGAGAAGTACGTCTTCTAACTGGATTTTGCTGGGGGATCGTATGTAGTTTATCCGTTTTTGTATAAATCGCGATAAAGAGTGGAAAATACCCCTTCTTACGATAGTAATTTTGATTAATCGAAAAATACTTTCTTAAGATGTAAAAATTAAACTTGCCCCCAGCATTTTTTATGTACCAGGGATCACAATGAATTGATCTATTTGACAGACTTTGCACAATAATATTGTTTTGCACTTGTGCCGAAGCGATTTTTGTGCAATATTTAAGAATATCAAAAATGTCCGTCACGTGATCGACACAGTCATCTGTCATCACAGAAATGCTGTAATATAATACCTAATTAAACTGTTATCTCAAGTTGACTGCAATTTCAAACAAGGATCACATATTGAAATTGAAATCTAGCTCAAAATAAAATGTATATTCTTAAGACATTATAAGTCTTCGGACAGCCTTATCATAACTGCGTCCGCGTGTGTCAGTCAGAAAGCGAACTTTGAAAGGTTGAGCACGGGATCATAGATTAAGAAGACCCGCTTTCTAAACCCCGTTGTTTCGTCGTTTTCTCGCTTCCTTTTACACACGCATAAGACAAAGTCTCAACGTCGCTGTCAATCTGTTAAATATTTATATCTTTTATATGAGTACCATTATCTGTCAATCATGTAGATATTTGCTTGTTTCAATACTCGTTGTTTCTGCGTTGTTTGTGTGACGCTTAAGGATGTATTCTTCTGATCCTTTTACCCCAAATAATCTTCGTTCGTAAACATGTCATAAAATTCAAACTGATAACAATTTTCAAACAAATTTTTAAAGTTTTTATTATTTACATGTTTAACTATATTTATAAAACAAATTCTTTCTTTGTTGCATTAATGACTAAGGCGTTTTCAAAGTTACGATATTTACGACATAAGCCTAAAAACTGAAATCAACATGATCGAGAGGGGAAGAAGATGGGATCACCCCTCTCAAAACAACAGGAATGCCGGATGGCACTCAGTTTAAAGAGCAACCGACGGAAATTTTAAAATATTTAAAAAGTTGCCGATATTACAATTAGGCCTAGAGGAACATTCTCGAAAGCGCTCCCCAAACCCAGCAAGGACACAACGTTGTTTAATTGTTGAATAATCGTTGAAGTTGGGTTTAGACGTTGGTAAATCTTGATACATAACTGTTTCAACGTTGACTTTTCAACGTTAAAATGTAACGTTGAATCAAAATTGAATTACAACTGAGTTGAATTGCCAACATTGACTCGACGTCGGATCTTGGCTGACCGGTCCAATCCTATTTTTAGCTGATAAATAATCGGACTATGACACTGTCGAACCATAGAAAGGTCTGACTTGAAAAAGTCACACTACCGTACATCATTACTAACTATTATAACTAAGAAAAAAATATGGTTGGTAAATATATAGAAATTTTTACACATTAATGATAAATATGAATTCAGTACAAATTTGCCAATGTACGGATTTTAAAGTAGCATACGCAGCAGAACATCCACAAAATATTAAAAACGACAGCATGACAGTTACTGGTAAGTTTTAAGAATTTTAAAGATTTTATATATGCAGCTGTGGTTAGGTTTTTAAAATTAAAACTCGATTTGTTATCTATCTTAATTGATCTTGATTATGGATGTTTCGGATTTCAACTGACGCCAATTTCATTGTACATTATAGGGGTAATTAATAAACTAAAGCTGCACCACCGAACTTTCTACACTCAGAAGACCAACATAATTCATTTGAGAATACTATAATCAGGAGATCAACACAACCCTCAGGATTCTAACATGAAGATTTCATTAAAAAAATACTTTTTAAAGAAAACATTTCGGCATGTCAGAGTATCATTGAGGAGACATAATTTGTCGACATGCATAACTGGTGCATCAAACGTGGTACCGTATATAAGATTTGCATCTTACTGTACCTTGGAATGGTTTCATGTTCTGTACTATTCCATGACCACATGTGAAAATATAAAACGTTTGTAATTGGGCTATGTGACATGGTTAATTTATAAAATGTATTTTGGTGAAAATTATTTTAACACAATTGATAGGATATGAAATATTAACTATTTCTTTTCATATACATGTATTGATATACCGTATGTTTTCCTTTAAGGGGTCCCGACCCTCTGCTATGAGTTTCACCTTAGAAAATTTTAAATTTGTAATATTGATTTTCAAAAACAAAAATAACATTAGAGCCACATGGAAAATAGTTTGAAGTATGAAGCGCTGCTTATTTTTTCAGAAATGATTTTAATGAGCAGATCATAATATGAAGAAATTTAACACAGAGAGCATAAAGGAGTAATGTTTTTTTTATCACAAAATTAAGTTCAATATATAATGTCATATGACAATAATACTTACTATAATACCTATTTAAACCATGTTAGAAAACATCATGGAGCGATGCTTTCTGAGTCAGAGAAAAAATATATCTGTGATGAGGTGTTATTTTTCTTCTAAATATTTCTTCAAGTGAAAAAATGTCATACTAATAAAAAAAACTGTACTCAAGTACTCAAAACAATAAGTCATTTTTAAAAATGTCCTTAAAAAGATCCGACTTTTTCAATTGATAAGATTTTTGATGTTAGATGTAAATGTTTTATTGTTAAATATAAACATTTACAAAGAAATGGCAAAAGAAGTAGAAAGTTTCCATCATATGTTAAATCTCATCAAATAGACTACTCAGAAGTCTCAGTAAGGCATCTGATTATGAAAACCATGATTAGTATTCAGATTTTGTAATTTAATTTAAAGTACTTTGAAGGTCGCCATCCCTTAAACAATTAAGAAAGCATTTTAGTAACTCTGCAGTAAAACGATTGAACCTTTGAGTAAGTAATAACAACCCCAAACATCACGGAAAAAATATGAGAAAAACAACATTGAAACAATTGTGTTTCAACATATAATCAACGTTGATTATCAAAGTTGATTCAATGTTAAGACTTCAACGTTATTACAAAATTTCTAAATCTAACATAAAATTAATGTTTAATTAACATTAAAAATGTTGATTCAAGGTTTATTCAATATTGTGTGCTGCTGGGAGCATGTTAGTCAAGAGCGCCGTTCGCGAAGTGTGTTGAGGACGTTCCAGTAGCAGCGGAAAATCGAAAATGTAGGTTTACAATGCTTTCAAACTTATTGAAAATAGCAATGTTTATCCATTATACAAAAGTTTCAAAATACCTAATATACTGTCACATCGCAAACTGAAACATAGCATAAACACCTTTTATGTTAAAACCTTATTGGCAGACCAAGGCAACATAGCACCTCAGTTTGTTTCCGAAAATCAAAACAGAAGAGATGTTAAATGTAAAGAATTTGTCATTTATTTAAATGACGAGAAAATGAAATCCATAAAACAATTATAAAAGAATTAGGCTGGGAGACATACATGTACCAGAATCATGGAAAGTTTGACTAGAAATGCAGTTCCATAAATGATTAAAAAACAGTGGTCTCCCAGCCACCATATTGTTACAACACAGAGATGTGATAATGTGGTAAAGTACAACATCAAACTTTATTGGAAACAAAAGTGGTGCATAAAAAGCGCCATCAACCCAAAGGGTTGAAGAACCACTCAAAATGTTGCCTTGGTAACCCTCTAATATGATAAACATGTTAAATTTGTACAGACATAGTTGATACTAAAATAATGAAACATGGTACATATAACCAATATACTATTTACAATAAAAGGATCTGGGGAAAAAGCAAATGAAGGGCTTCACTGCCCCAACCTATGATAGTCTTAATAGACACATGTTACTACATTTATCATGGCCTTCAGGTACATAAAACCAGTAAACATTTGAAAAACGATTGGGCAGACAAATTGTGAATGCTTTGAAATTAGACTTAATACATGTACAAACATTACAGGCCAAAAAAATTTAGGGGAATCTATGAATGTAGATGGAACGGATGGATAACTTCTAAGATGCATAAGATTTAAGATGAAAACTATGTACAAAAACAAAAATGTATACAAATCTACCCCTATTGCAGATACCTAAATTTTGAGGGCATAGCTAACAAGCACACAAAATCTGACTTTGTCAGAAATATATAACGCAGAAAAAAGGTAACAGGCAGACAAATTCTGACCCTGTTAAAATTAAAACAATAGTATAATATAAGGTAACAGGCAGACAAATTCTGACCCTGTTAAAAACAAAACAATACTATATGGTAACAGGCGGACAAATTCTGACCCTGTTAAAAATCATACAATACAGACAAAATAACAGGCAGACAAATTCTGACCCTGTTAAAACTTAATACAAAAATCCACTGTCAGCAGGCAGACAAATTCTGAACCTGCTAATTTAAATGTCACTTAACTTCGGCTAGACAATAAATGTAAAATTTGAGATGGTAAGTCAGCAGTCATTGAAAAATTTGACAGAAAGGTGGAATCTAATTGTGCAGGGAATTAATGCGAATGTATTTTTGAACGGCATCTGATTTCCATCTGCCTAGCTTTTGGATTTGAGTTTGAGAGAGACCTCTTTTTGCTGCTTCCGTGGCTGCACCTATTCGAAATCTGTGTCCTTTATAAACATTTGAATTAAGACCTATGAAAGATACTGTCTTTTGGAGATTATTTGTAACAAAGTTATGAGTTACTGCAGAACCTGAGTGGAACTGAAACAACGGTCCCGATTAGTGCTTGTGATAGGACAGATACATTTGAAGGGACTGTACTGGACATATCTCTTGAGGGGTTGCCTTGGAAAGATATATGGTAATGGGGCGTGCAGTTTGCATTGTCTTTGAATATCTTAAAATGATTTCAACTTTTGAATTGCCCTGTATACTGATGTCTTGTCTTTGAATAATGCAAGATTTATGTGATGGTGTTTTTGCAATCAATTCACCTAATCTGAAAACCCCATGAAATGCTACGGTGAAAATGCAATGAAGAAGAATTCTGTGATAAAAATTGGGAACTGTAAAAGGCAAAGCATTTACTAGTTTAACTAGGATTGAAGTTGTAATCGGGAGTCTGTAATCTGGCGTTCTTGCAATCTTGCTTGCACCATGAAGAATTTTTTGCACTAAGAAATTTTGGGAATGATCAGGTAAATTTAAGACTTTGTGAACAAAACTAATAGCAGATACCATTGATGTAATGGAAAAATGACTGTAGTTCTGTTCGAAAAGATGTGCAATAAAATTACAGAGGGTTATTACAGATACAGGTAATTCTTTGTTTAAATTCTTCTGATCACAAAACTGAAGAAAAAGGAACCAGCTGTGCTTGTAGGAAGTCTTAGTTGACAAAGCCAAGGAGGAATGCAGCAGCGAAATAGCAGTGGTGCTTAGATGTGGAGGAGGTGAGGTGGGATTTGCACTGGTTGTCTGTTGAGCCATGGTGCCAGGGTAAAGGTTTCCTGAAATTCAAGGCGAGACAATTTGTCAGCTATAACGTTTTCTTTACCTGGGACATGTTTAGCTTTAAAGAGAATGTTATTCTGTAAGCAAATAAGCACTAGACGCCTGACTAACTTCATAACAGTCTTGTCTTTGCTTGAAGTTTTGTTGATAATGGCAACCACTGCTTCATTGTCAGTAAGAAACAAAATCTTATGGTTTTGAAATTGGGAACCCCACATCTCCATAGCCAGTACAATTGGAAAAAGTTCTAAGATTGTAATGTGCAATTGTTTGAATTCATCAGGCCATTTGGCTGCAAACCAAACTGCTCCTAAAATGGCAGCAAAACCTTGAGTAGATGCAGCATCAGTGTAAAGGGTGAGGTGGTCAGAAGAGGACAAAACATCATTGAGAAAAACTGACTTGCCGTTAAAGTGTGAAATGAACTGCAACCAGCATTGTATATCAGCTCGGGCTTCACATGTAAGGCGTATAAAATGTCTAGGATTCGAGACTTTACAGGACATGTCAATAAGCCTACGCAAAAAAGCACGCCCTGGGGATATCACTGAGCAAGCAAAATTTAGCAACCCAATGAGGGATTGTAGTTCACGGAGAGTGATCTTTTTCCGCATGGAAAAACTGGATAACTGAGTTTCGATTTTTGATATTTTGTCAACTGGTAAACGACATTCCATAGCTATGGAATCCACCTCAATACCATATATGATGATGTTTGTGTTAGGGAGACAGGTTTTGTTGGGGTTTAAAGGGATTCCAATTTTGTCACAAAGGGATATAAAATTGTTCAAATCTGTTAGGCAGCTACCAGATGCTGGGGGACCTATGAAGAAAAAATCATCAATCATATGGGACATACCTTTTGCTGAGAATTTGTTGAGCATGATCCACTGTAATGCAGTGCTAAGCATTTCAAAAATTTTACAGGAACTACTTGCTCCCATAGGGAGGCATTTGTCATAGTAAAAGAAATTTTCCCATTTAAATACCAGTAAATGGTAATCTTCCGGATGGATTGGGATATTGCGAAAACCATCTTCAATATCACATTTAGCCATTAGGGCTGCAGAGCCAAATTGTCTCACTAGTGAAATTATATTGTCTATGGAGTCATAAGAAACCTGACTATTCTCTGGAGGGATTTGTGAGTTAACCGAATTATTTTCCGGAAAGGAAAGGTCATGGATGAGACGAAATTGACCTTCCACTTTTTTAGGAACAACGCCTAGAGGAGAGATTACCAAATTTTCAAATTGAGGAAAAGGGGAGGGCTCTGATATCCTGCCCAATTTTTGTTCTTTCAGAATTTTGTTAAGGACAACTTGAGGATGTTTGTTAGTGGATCCATGATTTGAAGACGATTGAGATGTAGGTGTACCTAAACAGCCTAATCTAAAACCAGTTGTAAAGCCTGATAAAATTAATTCTGAAAGGGAGGAATTGTATCCTTCCAAAAAAGTTTTAAGAATTTCTGGTCTTACTGGGGTTGGGAGTTTTAGACAACAGTCTTTCATCACTTGAGGGGAGTTTGGGGCATTTAACTCTGGGTGTTGCTCTTTGCAGTACTGACAAATATGTCTGTAGGGACATGGGTCTGTTCTACATGTTTGACCCTGGTTATATGAGTAGCAGAACTTGATTTTTTGGTTTGCAGAGTTATTGAATCTATTTCTGGCAAGAAAGGGCTGGTTTGAGGGACGGAATTTACTAGGTTGGAGATTTGCTCTCAACACAAGCTCGGGTAGGGGTTGTTGCCAAGCCAAAGGGGAAGACTGACGCAATTTTCGAAAGTCTTCATCATAGTGGCGCCAGGAATCATTCTTGCTTGTGAAACACATTTCGCGAATCATATGTATGTATTTGAAGAGGTGGGCTGCATCTGAAGGTGTCTTTTGGACATATATAGATGAAAAAATCAGAAAGGCAGATGTCCATTGGTTAATAGAAATTGGAAATTTTTGAAATTTGCCTTGTTGGAAATTGATTGCCCCCCTTTCTACTGAGACTGAGAAATTATCTTCCTGTTGATTAGGAAGCAGCAATCTGAGGTCAAAATAAGTATTATCCCAAATTTTCTGTTTTAATCTGTTTGAAACAGTGGCCCCCAGAGGAATATTGTTTGAAAAATTTTAAGGCTGGGGCGCATTGTTGACTGCTGACTCACCTCCAAATAAAGTGTTCAGGACTGCTGGAATGTTAAAATTGTCTGCGGGGTCAGCTGCTGATAGTGGGGAGGCCTCAATGGTTTCATGCGTTTGGGAGGCTGAATTACTGTTTTCATTATGGATGTCGGCAGATACCAGGATTTGCGCAGTATGGTTGGGTACTTGATGCCGATTGGAATCTGTACTGACTCGGTCATTGAGAGTGGAAGATGGGACGGAATTAGAGATATCCGAATTTACTGCCGGTAAAGCTGGGGTGTCTAAGGTTCTTTGTTTTTTCAAAACGGCATCTGCAAGCAGATCATAATCAATAGCCATCTGGGTGGGTGGCGCAGAGGTAGATGACCTCTTTCTTTGCTTGGAAGGCTGTGGAGCTGGGCCCTCAGGCTGTTTTGTTGGTGACTTTCTCCGTTTAGGCGGCATTGTCTGAAAAGACAGAATGTAGCCATAGAAAGACAAATGAATAGATTTTCACAAGCAGAAAATAGATTAAATGTTGTACCCATTAAAAGAAGGATTCTTTTAATTATTACCATTACTATTATTATTATTATCATATTTTAATTTGTATTTGCATTTTTTATTTTATATTATATATATACATAATTCTTTTTTAAATGAGGGTACAACTTAACACATAGATCAGCGAGTACAAACTCGCAAATATGTTATAGCCAAGCAAGCACATACTTGCATAATTGAGCACAAACTCATCAGATAAAGTGAGCACAAACTCACAATGGAAGGCGAGCACAAACTCGCATAGATGTCATATCAAAGCAAGCACATACTTGCATAATTGAGCACAAACTCATCAGATAAAGTGAGCACAAACTCACAATGAAAGGCGAGCACAAACTCGCATAGTTTTCATATGAAAGCAAGCACATACTTGCATAATTGAGCACAAACGCATCAGATAAAGTGAGTACAGACTCACAATTGAAGGCGAGCACCAACTCGCAAAAATGATTATAGCAAAACAAGCACATACATGCATAATTGAACATAAACTCAACAAATAAAGTGAGCACATACTCACCAGTAAGCTAAATGTGGCCATTGAATAACATAGTAAGGCGAGTACAAACTCCCAGATTGTAATGGTGAATCAAGCACCAACTTGCATGAATCGAGTATAAACAAAACAATAAATACTGCCACAATAAAAACATAAAGGAAGCACTTAATACAAGCAAAACATTGTTGAGGTGTTAGGCAATATATATATATCATATGCTCCGACGACACAAAAATTTAATTGTATTGAGATCATATCACAGTATCACAACAAATACATGTATGAGTAAGGGGTACTTTTAAGAAGGAATATTACTTATTTATTTATTTTTTTATGCATGAATTACATCTTAACTGTGAGGTTAGAGATCAAGTTAGAGTGCAATATAAACAGGAAAAACCCCACCTAAATATTTCAAAAAAAAGTGCAGGATGGTAGGTTGCTTCCGGGTATATTTTCCATTGAGGTTTGCACTAATATGAACACCATCCACTGCCAAAAAGTCCATTGAAGCCAAAATCCACGGTGTTACCAGAAGGAGATGTTAGGCAGACTGTCACTGGCTGATGCAAGCTCCTAGTTTGTATGTAAAACAATCGGGCGTTGAGGGTCCCGCCTGAGAATTTGGCCAATTATGACTTGTTTGAAAACCGTCACCGTTGCGCATATGCAATAAAGTCTTTGACTAGCTTTAGAATTCTCGGAGTGCTGCAAGGCAAGTCGCTTCCGCCAATCTGTATAAATGCTAGAACCAGTCTTACAGGAAATGATATGAATTGTCGTTCGGAGCTGAGTCTTCTAATAATGAGGCCACCCCTAGCCAAAAAGACACTTGAAAATATCCATTGTCGAGGCGTAGATTGAAACAATCGGGGTTGAAAATAATAAAGTTTCTGAGACATTTGAAGAGGGGTTCCTTCCGATCCGCCATTTTGTTCAAATGTCTTACAAGTAGGGAAGCGAAAGTCTTGATTATAAAATACGAAAATACTGACCTGCAAGGTGCACAGGTGTACAGATCGAAGTAATGGATCTTGCACAAAACGACTGCCGGGTACAGAAGCGATCAAATTGATGATTATTAGGAAACAATTGCTTTCTTGTCCACCAAAATTTTCTCGGCAGCACTCCGAGATACACAGAGAATAATATAAATAGGATGCCTTGCGCGGCAATCTGATTGGCTGAGACAAAAACAGCGCTTTGGTGAAATTAGATGAACCTGATAAAAACGGATAACAGAAAAAAGGGGGGGGGCTTTATATACATGATTTACAGATAAAAAAGTATTGTAAAATTAACCAAACAATTAAACATATTCTGACAGCCACAATAAATTACACATATGAAAATTTTAAAAATAAACCTTATTTCATACATTTACGGAACGTAAGGCCTAAGGGGTCTTCAGATTTGTGCAGACAACAGCATTTGTATTTTTTTTTTATTGCAACTTTAGCTCGTAGTATATGATGAATTTCTTTTGATATTGTACATGGTGTAAATGCAGAATATCTTTCCCAAATTTATAGACATACCGTACAAAAATAATTAGAAAGCATCTATAATTTTTAGCTTTTCACATTCGATGAGAAACTAGGTCACTTCATTCAATTGCGGCCTATGCGAGTTAGGGAATGGATTATTTCTGAAACATCATAGAACATAAAATAGAAATTATTTGATTCTTAACTACAGGCTTGGGTTCATAAAACAAAGTCAGCTAAACAAAATAATAATTTTACACTTTTTTAACAATGATTATATCAGTAATTATGATCTATTTTTTTCTTTTTTACTGTAGGTAAGTCTTGTTGTAACAAGAATCATAAATGAAGAATTTTAGAAGAGAGCAGGGTTTTAGAACCACTAAAATCAGATGGAGAAAATCATACAAATTAGATTCAGAAAGTGGGACTGGATGACTAATCCCAGGGAAGCTACCATCCAACACCACAGACCAGGCCTCAATCCGGAACTCCAAGGGCAAAAGAAAGAGAGGATGTCTAACAAAATATTATGAAGTTTTTGGGTAAATTGATTACTTTTTGCTCATAAAAAGCTTTTCTTAACAAGATTGGAATTATTACCTGAAATTTTCACACTTATTTTGAATATTTGATAAATAGAAACACATATTTTTCACGCCTAAATGCCTTGATTTATTTTCATTATATGCTAAAAAGAAAAAGGTGTTGGTGATATAAAAAATATGAAAATTTTCTTACATATGCACTAACCCGTACTTTTCATAGGCATGTGCAGAAAAGGAGCGATAACACCTAAAGAAACTGTACAACAATTTTCTTAAAAAGTTCAATTTTAGAAATATGTTTTTCTTTGATTTTTCAAACAATTTTATAGGGAAAAATATGCCTAATTTTGACTCTTGTGAACATCATTTTTGGGCACAATTTATTTAAATGGCATTCATTTGCTCATATTTTGCTTAAAAAATTACCGTTACAATACTTTCAAGTGAATTTAAGCAAAATTAAGTTTAGATTGATTATAGTTAAAACGTTTATGGAGATTTTTATTGTCTAATAGCACTATTAATGTAATTTCCATAGCTCTTTTTTGGCCTATGTTCAAAGGGTTAATCTCTCTTAGATGAGCACTACGATATACTTTTCTTGTCTTTAAATAATTCCATGGATATTAACTTTTAGAAAAATATAAGCATGTGAAAAGTTTAATGCACGTTTTTTTTCGGTTATCATAAGAATACATCCTTAATAACATTTTTAGCATTATATTTAAGCCGCAATATATCAGAAGTTTTTTTTTTAGAGAATGTAACCTATTTATGCCTATTAATGCAGTAATTACTTTAGAAAAATTGAATAGAAAAATTTAAAACTACAACAAATTATATTTCCATTGTATAGCGACCTTTAATCATAACCGGTTGCTGCAAGAAAACGTTGCATTTCAGTGTCGTAAATGCGTTATAAAATAATTAAGATTATTCGAATAATCTTTCTTATAATTTTTACCAGTTATAATAGAATAAAAAGAATACTCATACAAATTTCTTATGCGAAGACGGCGATAGGAGGTTTTTATCCACACCAACTTAACTGGCATCGACAAGGGAATTTTGTCCTCCCATAAACGTTAAAAATGAAGTCAAATTGTTTATGCTGTGTTTGTTGGGTTTTTTTCTGAATGACTTTCTCAGTGACTATTAATATTGTATTTGACATAAATGCTGTTTGATGTGTAACTAATAAGGATAAAGCTAAATAGTTAAAATAGTAATTTTCAACAGATATTTCTCATTGTTTGTCATTTCGTCTGCATCTTTACGAAATATAAAATCAATACACTCTGCATTTGAATGAATAAAAAAATCGTTTTATGACTATGATTACGTTTTTGTTGAACAGGTCGAGTATAATCGGTATATTTAGTTCTGTAGGTAGAATTACCTACCGTCGCATTAATTACTTACTCAAAGTAAGTTGATTTAGTTATATTAATCCAAATTTTCAAATGTTTGCTTTTCATTTTGTATAGACACAGAAACCGCAAATACAGTCCCCGAAACGTTATACTTTCCCATTTTCACCGTTCGGTCAGCCTTCGTTCACCGTTTGTACAGCTTGCGTTCACCGTTCGCCCTCAGTTCAATGTTTTGAGTTCACCGTTCATTGTGCGCTCGCGTTCACCGTTCACGAAACGTTCACAATTCGCTCTTCGTTCCGTTTACTATGCGTTCACCTTGCGTTCACCTTTCACGTATCGTTCACTCTTCCTTGTCATTCAGAACTCCGAAGTGATAGGACTTATATTTTTGATGGAATGGATTTTCACGTTTTTACGTGAAAAATAATATTTTCATTACAAAATGTATCTACTATATTTATATTTCTACTATTATAACTTAGGTGTTACTTTATCCATGACATTTCCCTGGATATGATGCAATAAATACCCACATGTATGTAGAACGATGCTAAACTATTAAATTTAAATAAGGACTAATCTTAAATGTTTCAAAGTCGGCAGCATTTTGTGGTAATGTAAAATACAACAAATCGTTAATGGACTGATATGGATAACAGTGATTAAGCAAGAGCATTTCAAAAAATATATATGTGCCAACAGTAGTATTTTAAATTGGCAGAGAAAATTTTTTCAAATTCCTTTTTTTTTTAAAGAAGTATTTTATTCATAATATACAAAGAGTACAATATGAATATGGATTGAACAGCAGGCCAAGGGCCTATATTAGTTCTCTCTGATGTTTTCAAATTCATTTCCAAACTTAATCCTTAATCCTTCCAACTATATATTCCCATAATTTATTTATTCATTCTTAAATTCAGTCTTGAAGACATTGGTTTCATTAATACAGGGACATGTGGAGGAACTTTTTATGGGCAGCTGTCTGGATATATTACAAGTCCAAATTATCCCAGCTCTTATCCAAACTATGCAAACTGTGAATGGAACATCATATTGCCAAACGGATATGGCATCAAGCTACTTGTAATATATTTCTCTACAGAAAATTATTATGATTATGTAGAGATCTTGGATCCTATCAGAAGAACACAAATTGGAAGGTAAATTTAGTGTATACATGTATAGAGTGTTTTAAATTCAGGTCATTTAAGCAAGAGTTATTCTCCATGGCCACCATATTGTAGGTCAACATTCCCAGATCCCTTCATTATTCAACCAAGTTCAATTTGTTATACTGGTTACTGAGGAAAAGGAAACTATTTTCTTAAAAATGTACGTTTGTTAAAGCCTCTATTAATTCATGATTTTAAGATCATAAATATATTACATATTCATAGAAAGATTTTATATTGTGACCACATGTGGAGTCGGATAAAACTCTTATTGAAAACTCTTATTGCTCTACAAATAAAGTATTTAATTTACAGTATGAGATGTGCCAAGAATACTCTTTCTCAGAATGGGTGAATGTCCTTCATAAAATGTTATTTGACACTAATAAAATAAAAGCAAAGAAAAAACAATGAACAAGAACAATTTGATAAGGCCTGGAAGCATTAGGAGAATTTATTCAATCGAAACCTCTCTCTCTCTCTCTCTCTCTCTCTCTCATTTTTCTTTTTGTAAAACCATGGTAAACAATAAATAAAGAAAAAATTGTAAATATTTCCCTTCATATAATATTCTTTGCATACATGTGTTTAAAAGTGGTTGCCCGAGAGGAAAATTCACTACTTTGCCCTACAAGATGGCGGCTAAGAAAAATAACTTCGAACAAAATATATCAACAGAAAAAGGTCAATATTCGCTGTTTTATTGGTAATTGGTTCTAGAGTATATATTTTTAGCTCATCTGAGCTGAAAATCTCATGTGAACTTTTTCTGATCACATTTTGACTGGCGTCCGTCTGCCTGTAAACCTTTCACATTTTCGACTTTCATACTTCAGAAGCACTGGTTCAATTTCAATCAAACTTGCCACAAAGCATCCTTGTGTGGATGGAATTCAAGTTTTTTTTTTCAAATTAAGGGTCACAGCCTCTTCCGAGGGGAGATAACTAAGAAAAGAAAATCATTTATGAAATTATCAGGCGTAAAATAGTAAAACAATGTTCTTGTTTCATTAGATAAAATAGAGTGATTGAAAATAGTGTGAGGTCAAATGACTATATTTAATACATATATTAATGGCATTGTATACATGTATTAGGTATGGAGGTGAAAAAATTAAACTTCATTACCAAGTTTTGAATACTTTCAAATTTTTGCATACTTAATTAACATGATGAAGATTGGAAACATTGAAAACTTCAATGGCTTTTTAACAAAATTTATTCAATAGGTTAAAATTAATACGGAACTTTCGAGTTACAAATCCGCTATTGTACAAGGAAGACAGGTGCTATCTATTATATCAGAACAATCATGTTGACAGTGTTCGAGTGTGTTTATTGGATTCAGAATATTCTTATATTATGTGTAACACAACACCAGAAACCTGTCAATCTGAGTACCCTTACAGGACATGGCAACTGGTAAAGGCTGATTGCTATATCATATCAGGTGGCTGCTCCTGTGTTGCGTAAGTCCAGTTTTGTGCTTTTTTACTACATGTAATTACAGTCATAGTATTTATGATTTACATTATATCAATCCCTAAATTCGAGAAATTATTAACATGCTACTTTTTGTCGTTTTAGGGATGATGGTTCTTGCAAGCACTGCACAGACCTGTCATTTGCTCTTGCAGCTTTTTGCGACCGCGATAAGGACAGGCATACCGAGGTGGGAACCGACGTGAAGTGTGTTTGGGACAAGCCCCGTAAGGAAAGCAAGCCTTGTCGCGTTAAGAAAATTTGCATCTCCTACAGGAAAAATCCACTCATACCAAACAAAGAGGACTACCAGCCATATCATGCCCTACTCTCACCAGTGACATTAATAGAGAAGTCGAAAAAGAACTGTATACAATGTGCCAGGGTACGGGTGCTGTTCTTTTACACAAATTAGACCCCCATTCAGATGAGGAGGAAGATCATGAAGATCCGTCTGATATGATAGCTGCTTTGACACACACAATTCAGACTGGAGAATCCTTGATAGGTTATTTAAGAAATGTGTATAACTCTGATATTATTTAGGAAGTTGAGCAGATCACTTACAAGTGTTCAAAGTGAAAATGAATTATGGTACAAATACAGGTATGGTAGAATTACATCTTCCTTGTTTTCAAATGTATGCCATTTTAGAGGGTGGAGTCATGATAATTACATCACACGTGAAATTCTAAATGTTAACTCCAATGCTTAAACAAAGATGCAGTAAGGTATGGAAGACAGAATGAAATTGTAGCTAAACAATTGTTTTTTGACATGTATGCTTGTGATCATGTAAATACAAAAATGAGACCTTGTGACATAAACATATTTCAGCAACATCCTTTTTTAGGTGCATCACCAGATGCTGTGGGAAAGGTTTAATTGAGGTAAAATGCTCCTACTCCCACAGAAATGAAACACCGTATGATGTAGCAGTTGACCGTCATTATCATTTGTATAGAGACACTAATGATGTTGTCAAACTTAGAGCAGATTCACCATGGTATGTGCAGATTCAAGGACAGCTTTGTATTTGTAATGCTAGGTGGTGTGACTTTGTTTTATACAGACATGGATTTTATCAGTGAAAGAATTTATCATGATTAATCTTTCTTCATTGAAATTGTTACAGTGCAGGGAACTAATTTTGTTACACAAACCAGCATCAGGATCAGCATAAGTAGGATCAGGATAGAACTAGCATCAGCATCAACATCAGCATTAAAAAAACAGCATTACTTGGATCAGCATCAGCAAGCAAAGGATAGAACTAGCATTGAACAAAGTGAGAACAGATAAATGAAAGTCATATAATACAAATTACAAATAAAAATTACCCCAAAAAATTATTTTTAATGGCATAAAATAGCAATGCTGTCTTTGAATTATCCACTTCCGGCAGGATATTCCTACTTTCAGTAGCATTATTAGCATTGACCTATTTCAAACCAGTATCAGGATAAGGATCAAACCAGGATCAAAATAAGGATAACTAGCATCAAAATCAGCAAGCAAAGGACGCATCAAAATCAACAAGCATAGGAAGCACCAAAATCAGCATTGATGCTGTAACAAAATTATTTCTCTGCACTGTAACAAGTGCAGCACCTTTTTCTAAAATTATGTACTTGAGTTTTGTGCATTCTTTGTCCAGTATTGCTGTAAGCAAAAACAAAATTTTATCTAAAAGCAAATATACAAAATACTGTAGAGCATTCAAATATTGTACAAATCAATATTAGATGCAGTTAGAAAATACATATTAAGTAGTATTAAGTAAATTTTAAACTAAATCCTCAAAAATCCTATAAAACAATCCAAAGAGCATAGTGATGCTAGGCACGCCTAAATATCTTCTGACTGCTGAGTCGGACTGTGTGATACTATTGACAAAATGCTTTCTGTGGATATGGTCTGTCTCTTTGGTCATAGTTTCCATATGACACATATCCTTCATGGTCAGGTCTGTCTGCACAGCAAAATCAACAAAATCTTCACTGCATCTAGGTTCCACAGACTGTTTGCTGTTTATATGGTCGTGGTCTATGAAAATAATAACTTATATAATATATAATAAGTTTAATTGATATACATGTATACTACAAATTGCATAACACATTTCAGAGTTATGCTAAAGAAATATCCGAGTCATCACCCTTACTGTATTTTCCACGTGAAATATCCTCAGTATTGGACCAAGGTTCCTTGATACAGGTTTCGTTTGATATCTGTTCTCATGTGCTACTGGAAGAGGTATATGTACACCAGCATTCCCCTCACATGAAACTGTGATATCCTCCATCTGAAAAAATATATAATGCTTTGAAATGTCACATATCATTTTGAATGCATAATTCTCTTGGTATTAAAATTTATTATGCATTTATAATAATAATAAATATTTAATATTAAATTTAATATAGGCCTATATATCACATAGTATTATACCCAGTGAATAAACATGTATATTTTGTTAATATTAGATTTCTGATTTCAAACAATTAGTTACATTGATGATACACAATATGTAGCCCTCATAGCATGCATAAATTTTTATGTAGGAATAAAATAATTTGTTTACCGGTAAACACGCAGCTAGGTTAAGGCCGCCCATAAGAAATAAGCCTTAAAATATCTCCAAAAAATCAATATAATGTTGATATTATTTTATTAGCATGAGTTTTAATTAAATGGAAACTATACTTATACATATGTATGTATGGGGTCTCAACCGAGTTCGGCCAACGCGACTTCACGTACATCAGCTGTTTGTCACGTGACATGTTTAAAATTAGAAAAAAAATATACGGATATAAAGATCGTAAAAGTTCAACGATATATGGATAATTTTTCAGCATGAAATTGATCGTGTTTTCTTTAAGACAAAGAATCAGGGGCAGTAAGCATATGAGCTGCCCAATATTTTTTAAATATTTTTATACCAGTGTTATCGTTAAGTTGGTTTATTTTTCATATATCGAGATGTCCAGTTTGATGGAAATAGCAATAAAATTTTCAACATTTGATTTGTAGTTTGAGTTATCACCATGTGAAGTAGGGCGATTTTTCCGGAATTGAGAAATTTCCATCAAATTCTCACATTCCAAACAGGATTTAGATATGGCCGCACGCAAACAACAGAGTAAAAATTTAATAGATTGTTAAAAATGGCACAATAAATTATATCACAAAATATCATTCTGTTGCTTGCATGCGGCCACCCTGAAAAATATATAAAACGATGTTTTTCGAGGCCGATTTTGATCGCTTCCGGTTTCGGTTTTTATATTCGGACGTAAACAAATTTGGAGGAAACAGAAAATGTGACAGTAGATTTATCGAAGTTCTAACCATTTAACAGGTAGGGATGAATTGAAAATCAGAGCAATTGTAATTTTACATGCACTGTTCAAAATTAAATCCCCTCCTATACTTATTAATGATAGAAGATTCGACATGACAGACTCCGCTAACTCCATGAACTCGGGGGACGGTAATCTGCAATCATCACATGCATGTCAAACAGTTGAGAATAGAAAATGTGTATCTAAAATACATCAAACAGGAACACAACATGCTATCTTCTTTCAAAGAAAAAAATAGATTATAAAAAAAATGACTTAATCATCGATTCTTTTTTATTTAGGCCCTAATATTCATGATTCATTCATATGAACCCTCGATCGGCCGGTTGATCTTCATGATTAGCCGCGTGTTATCAGTTGTGAAAATCTTTACATATACGGCATTAAAATATAAATAAACTACATTTCTAGGTTGGGGTTTATAACATATTTTTCTGTCTGAGTACAAATACAACTGAGTCTAGCCTTACACTGGTACCTGTGTACTTTGTGTAAATGTATGGTGTGCTATAACAGTCAAAAATAAAAAAAAAATGGCAAGAAGTTTTTTTTTTTTTTTTTTTTTTTTTATACTTTTTTTATGTTAAACCATTAAAGAAATAAAAAAAATTGTTTCTTAAAAATAAGCTAACGTCACTAAATCTAATTAATGTTCTTTGCAGAATAAACAATATAAATTCTTTCTATTTTTCTTGTGGGAACAATGCATTTTTGTTGTTTTTTTTTAACTTATTAATTAAAATATTATTAATGTAAAATTAAACTTTTGTCAGTATTAACAAAAATAATTAGATTACCTTGGAATATTATGAATTCATTTAAATCACCATTTAAATGGAAAAAAAAATGTTTGTCATTACAAGGTTCATTTTTTTTTGTTTTAATTTAAAGTACCCAATAATGTCATTGCTTCAGATTTTATTCATTTAACCCAAATAGGTAAATCAATAAAACTGCTATTTAAATTGATTTCATGAATGAAATAATTATATATTATACCTGGTGATACATGTATAAATAAATTATTCCCCTTTCTCATATATAAAGAAAATCTTATGCAAATGTATATACACTGTACAAGTAACCCCCTTCATTCCATAGTTATAGACAAAATGTGCATAGTTACATAATATATATAGTAATTTAATTTTGATATTTATATTTTAATTGTAGGATGCCTGGAGGTGGTCCAAAACAATATCCTGTTACTGGAGCTGTTACTTGTTAGTATTGTCAGTGTCGTGCTGGAGCCAGAGTTGTCGGGGCATGTGCCCATGTGGCCTCAGTATTGTGGTTTCTTGGCTATGAAAGACACACAAACTTTGCAGTAAGACCTATTCAAGACTGGGCTGACTACTTGAGGATGCAGCTGTGCAACCTGCAGTAATTGATGGCTCATCAGAAAGTGAAATGAGTGCAACGGAAGAGTGACATGAATTGTGACATTGGTTTATTGATAGTGAACATTATTGAGAGTGAACATTCTGCAGATTATAGGCGTCTCCATATAAATGAAAATTCTCAAGAGGGACGTTAAACAATATACAATCAATTATTCAATCAATCTGCAGGTTATGATATCAACTGCATTAGTCTCCCATTATTGTTTTCAACAATATAGTGGAAGGCTGTGTAAATATTGTTATTAATTAATTGTAAATAGGGATTTTTATGTATCTATGATTTTTTTTAATGTTTAAATTGTGATTTCTTAATATCTGTTATATAATTGAGAAATTAAAATATAGTACATTGTACATCCCAAAAACATAGTAGATTCATTGCATGAGTTTAATAAGTTTGGTTGTGAATATTGAAAGATGAATTATGTACTTTGACAAATGAAATGATTTGTTATTATATTATGATTAATTGTTATCAAAATTAATATACTGATGTAAAATGCATAATGCATCACAAAATGTTTCTCAGATAATAGTAACAATTATAGTTTATTATGCAATGTGTTTATTTGCATATTGAACTTTGTTAATAATTAACATGACTATATACAAGTACTTGTTATTTATTGTAATACAATGTAATTACAAAACCTTTCCAGACAAACATGTACTAGAATAACTAATTCTTTGATGCTTAGGTCATTTTTATGACATTGTGAGGATGATAAACATTATTTTATTATCAGTAAATGTAGTGTATAAGGCATGAGTGGTGTGATGTTAAACTTCTATGATCTTTTTGGAAAAAGTATAGGTGGGTGATGGGAGTTCTGGAATTTGTTTATGCAAACTGAAATCCCTTATTGTTATTTTTGTCAAGTTTAATGAATTGTCATTAAAAATGTTAGTTGAATACATTTCTTGTTTGTTCACTTTGTGCATTCAATGTATTTTTATGTTAAATACATACAAGTAAATTCAAAGAATTGTGGTCCCCCGCTTTCGGTGTCTTTGTGAGTGAGATGTTATTTTTTATGACATATTGTGTCTAATATGAACACCCTACCATATGTCATTTATTTAGAAATTATCATTGAAGTTGATTTTTTTGAAGGATGAAAACCCTAATCCTGACCGTTAAAAACTTATGGCCAAAGTGAAAGTTTTAAAGGAGGTCAACTCCAAGGTCAAGATCAAAGGGTCAAAGTTGTTGATATCCAATGAAAGGTCTTCTCACAAGAATTACGTATGTGAGGTATGAAAGTCCTAGCCGTTATCGTTCAAAAGTTATGGTCAAGGTTAAAGTTTATTCATAAGTACGTAGATCTTTAAGGTCAAGGTCAAAGTTGTTGATATCCAATTAAAGCTCCTGCCACAAAAAAATACATATGTGAAATATGAAAGTCTTATTATCTATCGTTCGAAAGTTGTGACCAAAGTTAAAGTTTTTTTCAAAGTAGTGAAAACTCCAATGTCAAGGTCAAAGGAAAGTTGTTGGTATCCAATGAAAGGTCTTCTCAAAGGATTACATATGTGAAGTAGGAAAGCCCTAGCTCTCACATTTCAAAAGCTATGGTTGTTTTAGTTTATTCATAAGTACGTAAATCTCAAAGGTCAAGGTCAAAAGGTAAAAGTTGTTGGTATCCAATGAAAGGTCTTGACTCAAAGAATACATATGTGAAAAATAAAAGTTCTAGTATCTACTGTTTAAAAGTTGTGACCAAGGTTAAAGTTTAAAAAGTAGTTAAAACTCCAAAGTCAAGGGTTAAAAGTTGTTGGTATCCAATGGAAGTTTTTTTTACAAGGATTACATATGTGAAGTACGAAAGCCTTAGTCACCACCGTTCAAAAGTAATGGTCAAGGTTAAAGTTTTTCATAATTACTGAAACTCCATGGTCAAGGTCGAAAGGTCAAGGTTGTTGGTATCCAATGAAAGGTCTTGCCACAAAAAATACATATGTGAAATATGAAAGTCCTAGTACCTACCATTCAAAAGTTATGGCCAAAGTAAAAGTTTGGAATTTTTGTGTAAAAGTGGGTTAAACTCAAAGGTCAAGGTCAAAAGGTCAAATTTGGTGGTACCCAAAGAAAGGTATTGTAACAAGGAATACACATGTGTAATATGAAAGTCATAGCTCCATTAAATCAAAAGTTATGGGCAAGGTTAAAGTTTTTGTGACGGACAGACTGACAGACTTACAGACTGACGGACAGACAAACAGACGAATGAGATTTAATGTCCCCTCGCTTTCACGAAAATACGGGACAAAAACAACTGTTTTACATTTAAATCCGTTTTTTTTACCACTTATAGCTAAAAAAATAGATTCTATTCACATGTTTAAGATCATTTCTGTTGTACTTGTATTAAATATCCATCTTTTATATTTCTTTAATCATATTTACAGGGAAAAAAATTATTAAGAATTTCGAGAAATCAGTGAAAATTGTGTTATTTTTGTATAGACCCCAAAATGTCTTAATAGTGGTTTTTTCATCAAAATATGTCTGAAAAGGTGTGATTCAATCATAATTCTTTTAATATTTATAATATTTTGTCCATTATGGTTGGGGCATATTTAGGGTCTTAATGCCCCTGATTCTTTCTTGACCCGAAAAGTGCTGGGAGCAACTTCTCCATGCCCAAGAAATATATAAAATTTAGCCGGCTTTTGATAAACTATGTGCATATACACTATACGCATTGAAGAAATGTAAAACTACGGAAAAACTCAACAGCGCACAACTTGCTCCCAACTACTTTTCAAAATAGTAGGGACAATAGCTACATGTGTGTAAAATATTATAATTTATAATCAAGCGTATATAGTTGAACTTTTGAGATTTTGGAGGGGTTGTACATGTGATTGTAGTACGTTTCTGTATAAAAGTGCATGACTGCGGCTTTATAAGAGACCTAATTGTTATCAATTAAATAAGACTGTGAACTATTGATAAATGCATTCAAAAATACTAATCAATTATAGTCAGATCATGCTTACTTAGATTTAATTTTTATATTTTCAGTTCAGCTAATAGCTTTATCTGCGTCTAAAGTACAGAGAAACTGCGTTTCAAACTAGACTATGACGTCATATCTGTTAGTACAGCGAGATCAAGTTGGCTTTGATTTTACTTTCTAATAGTGTTGTAATGACAAGATAAGTTACACATTGATTAATATATACAATTATCATGAGAAATCAAAGTATGTAAGAGTATATGAAAAAGAAAATTATTATTTATTCGCAGAGATTCATTTGTACAATTTCACCGACACGTCATAATCGAATTCCCGACGCTCTGCATACACTGATCTACCTTGGGTAGCCCTTAACCTAGTTGCGCATTCCATTGGACTTGTTGGAATGAACTGACGTCTCCGCTACTGTAGCTGAATCAGACGAAGAATTGGTTGGCTGACGTTTCTCGATAGAGGTTGTTGTTCTGGACTGTTTGACGACTTTATTGCGTGGAAATAAGGTAGGGACAGGAATTTCCTCTGTTGGACAACCATCTATAAAATGTCGTGAACACCAAAATGGTAGCGTATTGGGGCATACTTCTCATCCCTGAAAACCTGCTGCAGCCACCTCTTTCTCATTTTTGCCTGACGTTTAGCTCCTGGATATGGGTAGAACTGCACTCCCCTCATCCACGGATATTTACTTAAATTTGCCTTTTTCCTGCCATCTGATGTGCAACCCGGCACGGAACAGCAATAATGATTTGGTTCGTCTCCATGCTTCTCACTTTTTTCTCTTTGGGGGCTTGTTTTCCTCTGCTTGGTTACTCTCCATTTTGTTTCGATGTCAACAAAATACGCCCTACATTTCAGCCTTATCACGTGACAGCAGTGTATAAAATCCGAACGTAAACAGCCATATCCGGAGTATCTCGAAAGTTCCGTATTAATTATTGATCTTTGTTTAACTTTATATTTGAATTGCACAGAGAATCTGAAACAGTAACATTTGTAAATATGGATAATAATACTGCAAGCTATGATTATAGGTACATTATTATAAATCTAAAATCTAATGATAAAAAATGATTATGCAGTAACCCAAACAAATGATATTTGAACTTTAACTGGGTTTGTTGTTTGCAATGTCCATTAGTACAATAATCTGTAGAACTTTACACTTTAGTGTAATTTTTTTCCCATTAGGATTAATTTGAATTCATTCAAGTAATTACCCCTTTGGATAGAGCGGGGCCACAGTGGGTGATAGAAATTTACATAGGAATGTTTAGGAAAATGTCTCGAAAAACTTCTTCACAAGAACAGCAAAGCCAAAAGTAGTGACACTGATATAGAGGCATCTTCAGGTATTGTAGATTCAAGTTTGTTCATATCATGACCCAAAGGGTAGGTTTGGGTCACAATATGGATCAAAATTTTACATGGTAATGTATAACTGGAAAAAAACTTAGAGAAATGTCTTTTCAAGAACAGAAAATCATGGGTCTTTTAATATGGAAGCTTCTTCAGAAAGTTTAAAATTCCTTTGCACCCCCCTCCTCCCCCATCCAATACTGATCTGATTTGTGTTTTTTTTTCATAGACAATGTGCTTAGGTGAGCGATTTGTCTCATAGGTTTGTTGTCTTGGAAGTCTCCAGTAATAGACATCAGAGTGTTTATGATTAGTAATCAACTTTATTTCTTCATTTTAGGTTTTCTGGTACCGTAGCAGCTGGAACTCTATTCTATTCAAATGCCGAATCCATTGTAATAAAATTTTCTTCAGATTCCAGCATACAAAAACAAGGATTTTATCTTCAGTTTGAACCATCTACACGTCCCAAAATAAGTAAGTTTCATTAAAAATATTTCTAAATATTTCTAATTTCAAGATTTATTGAATTGTAAGGCGAATATTTTTTTTCCTGGACCAAGACTTTTTAGATCACCTGATTCGAAGTGAGCTTTTTTGATCATCCGATGTCCATCGTCTGTCCATCTGTAAACGTTTTACATTTTCAACCTTCTCTCAATAAACACTAAGCTGAATTCAACCAAACTTTATACAAAACATCCTAGGGTGAAGAGGGGTTTAAATAGTAAAAATGTCAAGACTGCAACAAATCATAAAAGTTTTGAAACGATTCGATTCAAACAAAAACTTCAATTTTCGAATAATTTAGTTTCGATTATAAGAAATAGATCTTTTCAGCCCACCTGAGCCAAAGGCTCAAGTGAGCAATTCTGATCAAAATTTGTCCGTTCTCTGTCGTTGTTGTTGTTGTCGTTGTCGTCGTCGTAAACTTTTCACATTTTCAACTTGTTCTGAAGAACCATTGGGCCAATTTCAGCCAAACTTGGCACAGAGTATTCTTAGCTAAAGGGAATTCAAGTCGGTTCAAATGAAGGACAACTCCCTTATTCAAGGGAAGATTACTCAGAAATAATAAAAATTTGATTTTCTCAAGAACCACTGCGTCAGGACAGATGAAACTCATGTGGAAGCATACTCACATAGTGTAGATTCAAATTTGTTCATATCATGACCTCCGGGATATGGCGGCGCAATAATGGCCGATCAAAGTTTAGAAATATATAAGAAATTTTTTTTAAATCTTCTTCTGAAGAACCACTGTGCCAGGAAAAATGAAACTTATAGGGAAGAAACCTCAGGTAGTATAGATTTAAGTTTGTTATAATCATGATCCCCAGAGGTAGGGTGGGGGTACAATGGCCGAGGAAAGTTTTACATAGAAATACAGAGGACAATTCTTTAAAAATCTTCTTCCGAAGAACCACTGTGCCAGGAAAATTGAAACTTAAAGTGAAACATCTTCAGGTATTTTAAATTTAAATTTGTTCAAATCATGATCTCAAGAGGTAGGGCGGGGGCAGAGCGGCCAAGGAAAGTTTTGCATAGAAATATATAGGACAATTCTTTGAAAATCTTCTTCTCTAGAACCACTGTGCCAGGAAAGTTTAAACTTATATGGGAGCATCCTCAGGTAATTTTACGGGCATCCTCAGGTAGTTTTAATTCAATTTTGTACAAAATATGACCTCCAAGGGTAGGGTGGGGCCTCAATGGCCGACCAAAGTTTTACATAAAATATGTAGGATTTTTTTAATCTTCTTCTCAAGAACCACCGTGCCAGGGATGTTAGAATTTATAAGGAATCATCCTCAGGTAGTTTAGATTCAGTTTTTTTCAAATTATGACCCCAATAGGAAGGGCTGGGACACAGTAACTGATCAAAGTTTGTATAGAAATATATAGGACAATTTGTTAAAAATCTTCTCAAGAATTAGCAAAGGCATGAATGATCAGATTGATATGGAACCATCTTCAGGTAGTAGAAATTCTACTTTGTTTAGATAATGACCCCTTGGGGTAGGGCGGGGCCACAGTGGCCGATCAAAGTTTTACATAGAAATATATAGGATTTTTTAAAAAACTTCTTCCCTGGATTAGCAAAGGCATGAATGATCATATTTTTATGGAAGCATCTTCAGGTAGTGGAGATTCTACTTTGTTTTAACCATGACCCCTTGGGGTAGCGCGGGGCCACAACGGAATCCGGAATCATAGAAACATTTAAAAAAAAATAAAAAAAAAATAGAAAAGCCATAATTAGTATTATTCATATGAAGCATTCTCAGGTAGTGAAGATTCAATTTTGTTCAATTCATGACACCTGGGGGTAGGGTTGGGCCACAATGTAAGCTCAAATGTAAAGGGCAATAAAGCCGCAGGTAGTCAAAGAAATATGCAAGCATCTTTAGTTAGTGTAGATTCATGTTTATTAAAATTATACCATCTCCCGTTTAAGGATTGTTTGGGACCACTTTTGGGCTTCACCTTTTTTCCTAGCCACATTGCTCAGGTGAGCGATGTGGCCAATGGGCCTCTTGTTTAGATTTTTGTATAAAATCTGTAATCTTTGATCATCAAGATCATAAGACATTCTAATAAATAATGATTCATGCTTTTATAAGGTTTATTAAGATAAAAGTAAAGTAAAGCCAAGAAAACAAAGAAATACTTAATGTGCTAGTTACAAAGTATGACCAAAGAATCAAATGTTTTAAATCAAAATTATTAAGAATACTCTCAATGGTTTTAAAAGATGAAACATGCGAACAAATCTTTCAAACAAAATGAACGATTTCCTATTATGTTAAGAATAAAAGTATATATTTTGCTAATTTGGCCACAATAGAAACGGTAAGATCCCTGTTGTGATTTAAATTTTTAATTCACCAATAAAATATCAAACCACTTAATCACAATGACATAACTGTCATAACAAGAATGTCAATAATATTATCACATTCAAAATGATGTTAATATTAAAAGAAATAAGGAAATTCCCAGCACTTTGTCGGTTCCTCTAAATTAGGGAATAACTATCTTCTAATTTGGTATTTGCGACCATTAATGCTGATTTAACGGTCACAAACTGAGTTTTACCGGCGATGCGTAAGCAGAGCTGGTAAAACGGATGTTTGCGACCGTTAAATCAGCATTAACGGTCGCAAATACCAAATTAAAAGTTTAGTTATTCCCATTCTAATGCAATCCATGCATTTTGTTTGTTGTTTACGTCTTATTTTGTTGAATTTTGTTACATGAAATACGTCACGGAGCATTGTTTTTTTGCGTCGCTCTATTATGACGTCACAATGAAAAAGCTTTCAGCTCGTTAATGCTCGTTTTACTGCTTCAAACATCAGTGCATTAGCCAATCAAAGAATGTTTTACAAAACAATTGCATTAGAATTCAGAATTACGTGGCTGATGGGTTTTGCCTTTTAGTAAATATATTTATCCTCTGTGCCATCTTTCTGTCGAAAATGGAACTTGAAAGTAGTTCCCTGTCGACTTCTTCACGACCATTTCCGTGATTTTGTTTACTTTAACATGATTTGCCATCATTTCCTCCGATTAACCAATCAGAATGCGCGTAACAACAGGAAATGTTATCATGAAAAAATCAATCTTGAATCAAACCGAAAGATTGTGAATTGCAGTCAGTTAACCGATATTTCAGTTAATCGTAGCAGCCCTAATCATGTCCGTCCTTCTGTCTAGCTGTCCGTCTTTCTGTCTGTCTATAACGCTTTCGTTTCCACACGATATCTTGAAAACCCTTTCAGCTCTTGCAATGCAATTTTGCATGGCAGCTCCCTATGGACTAAAGAAGAACCCTATTTCTATTTATGTCAAAAGGTCAAAGGTCAAGGTCATAAATTCGTAAATTCTGTCTGTTTTAACACTGTCGTGTCCCAGCAATATCTCGAGAACCCTTTAAGATCTTTCAATGAAATTATACATAGCAACTCCTTGTGGTCTAAGGAAGACCCCTAATGATATTGAGGTCAAAAGTTCAAGTTCGTAAATTGAAACATTTTGTCTTAATGTAACACTATCGTTTGTGTGATATTTCAAGAAAATTTTGAGCTTTTGGAATGTAATTTTATAATAAAGCTCCCTTAGACCTCTCTCACCCCTCTTAAACTGCCCCAACCCGTTTGTTTTATTAGCATTTATTGTATTAAATCTCGCTATTTTTAGCACAGGGGCATGAGGAAAGTAATACATGTAACGTATAAAACAGGTTCTCTGCGGACTTTATATTTTTATTACATCTATTAAAACTATTTAATTAATGCTAAATTAGACACCATGCATTTGTAAAATTTTGACAATATCGAACGTGAATATATACATGTATGTGCCTTCATGCTTGCATATAATTAACGCCTGTTTAAAGCGGTACTGTGGTGTAATGTTATGTCTCTCGCTTCATGTTTGAGAACACTCAGGTTCGAATCCCGGATAATCAATTTTCTTTTTTTCCCAAATACATTTTGTTTTACTAAATGATCGTATTCAGCATGTGAAATGAAAAAAAATTATTACGTCTGGCTTGTACAAACTCATAAAATCACCATTACAGTGTGATGAATATTTTATATAAAAAGAATCCTCTATACACATAATAAAGAATAAGCAATAAAATCTTCATATCCATATTGGCATATTTTTTATTTGCTTCAGTAAACCTGAATACATTTAATAATTCTACATATTTAGTCAAGGGAATCCACCACCCCCTTCTCTGAACTAGATTGTTATATGTATATTGAACCGTCGGTCAAAAATAACTAAGATTAACTCTGTGTGTGGTCAAAAGAATAAAATGTTTCTTCTAATTTTATAATTTGACGATTAATGCATGGTTAACAAACAATGACATAGTGGAGCATAACTTTAAGACAAAGAAAAGAACTTTACTACGAAATATGCACCACCCGACATAAATTTTATTTTTTATAAAGCACATATATGTAAAGATATACATCATGATATACTAAATAGTACATGATACATATACATATACATCATTTGCACACGTTCGAATAATATTATAGGAACGGGGTTGAGGATACCCCCAAATGAAGTCGATAAATAAACAATGTACTATAGAAAACTTAGCTAATATATAATTGTGCTCCCACAATAAAAAAAAATCTTTAATTTGGCTTTCCAAGGAATTGTTTGGTAGTGACTCTAAAACACAAAAAGTTTAGTTGTCTCCCATCCCCCACTGAAATTGCTTGTTTCATGCCTGTTACATACATAAAATAAAGGCAGCCCAAGATAATTTAGTAGATTTCCATTTAAAACATCATCTAAGAAGATATTGTCTACCTTGAATGTTCGTTTATTTTTTGAAGTGATTTTATTTTAATAAATTAAAAAAAAGAATCTCTCTCTCTCTCTCTCTCTCTCTCTCTCTCTCTCTCTCTCTCTCTCAATACAAGACACTTTATAAAACGCACTACTTATCTACGTGATTTCACGGACTTATTTTTTTTTCAAGCTGTTAAAAGTAACCTTTCACTATGTGAACAAGGCGCACTTTACGAGTACATGTAGTGTGTAAACGTTTAATCACTGAATCACGGCAAACGCGTTTCCTAATCCGTCTTAAGTATCATTGTGTATTTTCTTTTATTTGTTCGCTTTTTTTAAACATTGCAAGTAATTTCAGTAAATTTGACATGAGCAAATTTGAATTATGAAGTGTTTAAAACACTATTAGTTCTATTTTATCCTATTCTATTCTATCCTATTTCTTCTGATTCTAAACTTTAAATGAGAGCAATTACTAGTCCCGAGAAAACTATCGAGATACGGGAAGTTAGGGCGAGTTACGTTACTTTCGTTCGTAAGATGTCGATGTTTCTCTATTAGGACAATGGACCTACGTTTTAAAGGTCATATCCGGAAGACCTGTGCCTTTCACTTTTTATGCTTGGGGAACTGTTACTACCTATTTATATGTCCAAGGTTTTACATGGCGCCGCGAACGAGAATCGAACCCGGGCCTCCAGATCCCGAAGCGAAGGATCTACCCTAGGCAACTGTGAACAACCATTTCTAAGAGAAAAAAAAAGCGAATACTCTTGAACAAACATTCAAAAAAAAAATGCCATTTGAGCTTGTAAAAGTTTTATTGAACAACAATTTGATATTATGTACTGTCATCTGTACAGAATTACGGTCAATTATTATTTGATTTAAGAAAACTTAAATTGATGAAAATATAAGGATGTAAAAGATCATTGTGTTGATAAAACATATATATATATATATATATATATATATATATATATATATATATATATATATATATATATATATATATATATATATATATATATATATATATATATATAAAGCACTAAAAATGACCAACGACACGAACAATAAAAATTGTCAAATTTTCGGGACGCCCTGTCCCTTCCTCAGGACAAAGAAAAAAGTTAGAAAGTCATAAGAACAAAGGAAAAAGAGAAACAAGAACAACTAGCACTACTACTAAACTACTAAACACTAGATATTTACATACTTAATTACATGATGAATTGGAATTTTTAAAAACACTAATAAAGAAAGAAATCCGGACCGCTATGAAATGCGTCCGGTCTATCGGGTATACTCGGGCGAAGTGCGATTTACATAATTGAACGAATTAATTATGCTAATTAATTACGACAATCAGTAAATCGTACATTGTTTCATTCTCTCAAAATGGCGTAACTTTACTTAATAAAGAATAATCGAAGAAAAATAATGTAGCAGGGATATTTAAACATATGAATTATGATCAATTTAAAACTTGCTCTGACAGAAGATGTCTTCTTTGCAAGCACAGCACTGACACAGACAGTTTTAACAGCCCTGTTACAGGCCGCAGCTACAAAATACTAGGGAATTTGTCCTGTCATACTGACAACTGCATTTATCTCATCAGTTGCAAAGTTTGCTCCAAACAGTATATTGGTGAAACAGGAGATCTCCGCAGGAGAGTCAATAACCACCGTTCGACCATTAGGACCAAAAAACTCAATGAACCCGTTGGGGAACATTTCAACCTTGAGGGTCACAAATGGGAGGACATGACAGTAGTGGTGATTGACCATAACCCAAGATGGACAGATGCTCAGAGAAAAAGCAAAGAAAAGTTCTGGATGCACAGATTGAAGTCATTCCGCCCTAATGGTATTAACAAACTGAATGACTTCACCAGAATGAACGTAAACTAGACCCAATTCCTGATGATACTAAACAAGATTATTCTCTCAATTTAGTGTAAATTCTACAGTAAATTTGCGTCACCAACTCTCGAACAACTCTCATAACTATGTATTGCTTACACCTTTGTTAATTATTTTTTCCCGGTAATAAGTCCCTAAATATTTCAAAATTTATAATTGATCATAATTCATATGTTTAAATATCCCTGCTACATTATTTTTCTTCGATTATTCTTTATTAAGTAAAGTTACGCCATTTTGAGAGAATGAAACAATGTACGATTTACTGATTGTCGTAATTAATTAGCATAATTAATTCGTTCAATTATGTAAATCGCACTTCGCCCGAGTATACCCGATAGACCGGACGCATTTCATAGCGGTCCGGATTTCTTTCTTTATTAGTGTTTTTAAAAATTCCAATTCATCATGTAATTAAGTATGTAAATATCTAGTGTTTAGTAGTTTAGTAGTAGTGCTAGTTGTTCTTGTTTCTCTTTTTCCTATGTTCTTATGACTTTCTAACTTTTTTCTTTGTCCTGAGGAAGGGACAGGGCGTCCCGAAAATTTGACAATTTTTATTGTTCGTGTCGTTGGTCATTTTTAGTGCTTTATATAAATTTCCATCCGTGACCTTGTATCTACTTGGTAGATCCGACATTTAGGATATACAGGGTTGTTGGTTTTTTAGTGCTTTTTATATATATATATATATATATATATATATATATATATATATATATATATATATATATATATATATATATATATATATATATTCCCTCTTATCAACAGGAAAATCAGCCACCACTACCGACACCATTACAGAAACAATGGAACCAATCACGATAGCAGAAACAACAACGGAACAGACATCATCCAATGTTCAATTCTCAACTTCAATAGGTAATATTTTTTCCACTTAAAATATATATCACAAAAAGTAGAGCTAATTTTTACCCTTTTCAAAGAGGGCTTGTGTTTATTAAAACTAATAAATAAACATTAAGCATATATTTTGCAGGCAGTGAAGACAACGAATGAATACTTTATCCTGTTCATGCGGAATCATATAGTTGGAACAGATCCCTCAACAATCTTCATCACAACAAATTATAGCACGTCCGTTGATATTTCAACGTCTTCTCAATTAAATTTGTCCATTAAGGACGTTCGATCCTGATATTTTTAGTGTATTTCGCATAGGTCCTTTATTCATAAAATTAAGCATAATTTTTAGGTTCTAACAATAAAACTAAATTCTACAATGCAAATTAAACTATATTCAATGAAAAAACCGCAATTAAATTCCATTCAAGTAGAATTAAGCTAGGGACTATATTTTGTGGCGGACGGTTTTTTAGACGATAATGGTCAGTTTTTTTCCATTTGAACTAAAACAGCACTGTTAATTTTGGATGCATATTTTTCCATGCTGGTTGCACACAAAGCTGTTATTTGCAGTGAAATATGTTATGCTGGTTCTGAAGTATCTATTGAATTGTTTTATGAATTCTATCAACAAAGTGTGACAAATATAGAAAATATATTTTGAAAAACCGGGAAAAATTGAGCCAATTTTAACGTAAAATTCACACTTTTTTAGTAATATTTGAAAATGTACATCATATACCCCCACTTTTGATCTCCATTTCTAAATATTCAAGATAACTTTGACCTATTTGCTTAAAATCAGAAAAAGTTTAAGACTTTAAAATAATTTTCTTGCTTATTATATTTTCAATACCCGAAAAATAACCTTTTATTAGTGCAGAAAGGTCAAATAATTGATTTTGCGAAGCAATTTGAAACTTTTTCTTAGTCACAATTTTTAAGTGTCTTTTTTTAAACAGTCTTAGAGTTCATTTTGTTTCATGCTTTAATTGGATAACAGTATCAGAGGGAAAACGTCAATGATGTAATTTTTAATTAAGACACAAATTTCAGTGCAGAAAAGTCATATCAAATGTACTGTAGCACTAAAAGAAGCATATTGACCCCCATTTTTTGATTTGAATTTCAATTTAGCTATGTATGTAGAAACTAAAAATACACTTGGCAAAAAAAGCTTAAGACTTTAAATATCAGGATCGAACGTCGTTAAATCAGCAACTGCCCGAATAATGAATATTTCTCATTTTTCCAAGATTACACTCCCTTTTGATCTGACTTGTGGTTATTTAGCAATTGAGACAAAAGCTGTACTTTGACACACATCTGGACTATCGACAGTATCTATATTTCATTGTTTAATTTACGGTTCTGTCGCCGGAACACATATTATTCCAACAAATAGACTGGCTTATTTCGTCGACGTTTGCATACCCTCATACTGATTACCGGAGCCAGTCTGCAATGGCAGCCTTGCATGAGAACACATTGATAAATATCAGATTTCAAATAAAAGATAATATCTCAATTGTATATTTAGTAAAAGGTGCAGAGACCAAGAAGAATTATTAACCATATTAGATGAATACAAAACTTTGCAAATAGGACATACAACAGATATTACTGGAACTTTGATCACGTCTACAAAACCAATAGCTGTATTTTCTGGAAATCGATTTCAAGACATGAAAGGCAATGGTTGTAGTCATATGGTAACTCAATTACCCCTACATGTAACTACTGAATTAGATAAACTATACATTGTACCCCCTTTTTACGGTAACTTGGAACGTTAGTTCAAGTGATTCTTGAATTTCCAAACTCTATTCACATCAAAATCGGACAAAAAGTATTAAATTGGTATTTGAATGAAAAATAATACAAGAACACTGAAGTTACATCAGAAGAAGCATATATTCTGGAGTCAGATAATCCCGTATTAGTTACCGGTATCGGAATGGGTAACGGCATATCTGGAATTAACCAATATGTCAACTACCATAATGTTGTTCTACCGGAAGGATATACAAGAAAAAACTATATAAGTATGATACACTGTAATTCCACAAACGTATATTATACTTTGCCTTCAGATAAACGGTTCATCTGCTGACCACTATAAAACTGTGCGAGTAAACCCTTCAGTTTTGAAGAGCACTATCATGATTCGTACCTTTGAAGTACACAGCGGTTTAGTAGTTTTAAAGACAGCAAATAATGCAACATTTGGACTAATTTTCTACGGACAAGCATTTTCTGACGGACATGCATTTACTGGCAACTAAGAATTTCAACCCAAACAGCCACATGCATTCACACTTATATGTAAGTCATATTCATTTTTATTAAAATACATTTTGTTCAAGAGCAGTGAATTTCAGTATAATCTCAAAACAGGAAATATATTACATATTCATTGGATTTCATGTTAAACTTTGTATGTAATAAACAAATACATTTATTTATCAATATAAAATGAGTTTTATTATCCCAAAGAACCAAAAATGAATTAGAACTTCGATATACGTTATGTATTATACTGCGGCCTCTGGCAACATTTTTCATCTTCAGGTCCAACAAAGCATATGTTGCCCTCATACCCAGTCAATAACTGTTTTGTTATACCCTTCAGTGCTTACTTCAGATTTATTCAATACACACTATATTATCAATTTAGTTTACATGTTAAATTATGGCTAAATCAGTAAATATTAAACAATAGCTGAGAAAGAAAAAAAATGATTATATTTTTATACTTGGCTGGTAGCAACAACTCTCGAAGCTCTTGACTTCAGCCATTTCCGTGTCGCCGAAATTGAACGAAAATTAATTAAATTGACTACTTGTGACGTTGTAGTGACGTTTTGGTCTAACAATTCTTATGTTGGACCGGAAGGCCAGTCAACAGTGAAATTGTTAGACCGATGTGATAAAAATTTCTTTTGTTGGACTTTTTATTACATAGAAAGCTATTTATAAGGGTATAACAATGTTGTTTGAATTCCGAAACGTTATAAAATTTAAATCCTTACAATGAAGATACATTGCAGTGTCCAGTGAATTTTCAACCAAGACTCTTTCTTTACTCCTCACTAGGATATTAACAGTTGTGAAGGAGAAACTTCAAGAGTACTGTGCAACAATATACCCGGTATAAAAGAATTTGTGCAATTAAGATGTGGATACTTAAATATTCCATAATTCCATGATTTTAATCGTATTACTATATGGATGTTTTATTTTTTTAATTTATATATTCCTTAACTTGTAACCAAGTGTTTATGAAGCTAGATTTTTTTTTTATTCTTGTGGGCTGGGGAGTGTCAATGGTGAACCAGGGGCATTGCTTAGAGCGATGAGAAGGGATATATTAAAAAATTCCCATAGGCAGGTCTTATAAACTTATACATGTAAGTGGTTTTGAATCATTCTTCTTGACCAACTTTTACGAGGAGTATGTGTTTCCTAAGTTAGCGAGGGGATGGGTCATCTTTATTTGCTTTCTAACATACAGTTTAATGACTAAAAGATCGGAGGGGGCTACTTTGACACATTTCTCACTTGATTGCTACTGATCAGCTTTACAGTTCAAGACGTCAAATTTAATGATATGACATCAGATCAGTACGAACGGGAGAGGGGGGAGTAGGGCCAGTCCCCATCAAGATTACACTTTGTCCCTAACAATCTTTATATAATTTTATGCTCGTTAAGAATTTTTTGTTCAGTTGATCCAATTCCTATACGGTAGTTGACCCTACATATAATTCATGTTCCATAATTAATGTAGTAAATTTGTTCAATTGCTCAATGAAGACAGGCAGAGACAGGTCCAAAAACTTTGCAATGTAGGAGACAACTTAAACTTTTTATTACTCATTTTAATAAGCTACGCCAATCAAGGATTTTTTTCGAGAAATGAAAGGAAACATTTAAACTAGAAACTTGCATTTTTTTGTAGGTGTCAATGGCCGAAACTTTTGGACATTGTCAAGTATTTGTGCTCCAAGAAAGTGGCCATGGGGTTGTTGAAAAAGTTATTTATCCGACATCATTTTCAATTAAGTATAAATATACATAATGACTCGCATGAATACATTCACACAGAATTGTTTTAGGTTACCTGAGTAAACTCAGGTGACCTATTGCTATCTGTTTTCGTCCGTCGTCGTGCGTTGTGCGCCGTGCGTTAACATTTAAACATTTTCAGCTTCTTCTCTGCAACCACTGAACCAATTTCAACCCTATTTGGCACAAAGCATCTATGGGTGTAGGGAAACAATAATTGTGAATTTCATGATCCCTGCCCCCCTTGGGCCTGAGGGGTGGGGCCAAAACCACTAAAATTAATGCAATCTTTAAAAATCTTCTTCTTTACTCCTGGACATCAAGCAGTCAAACTGTTTGCATGATTGTAATCAGCAATGAGTCCTCTACCAAAATTGTGAAATTCATGGCCCTGGGGTCAGGGGTTCTAGTGCTAGGGCGGGGCTAAATAAGTAGGTAGTGAAAATGCATTATTTCTTTGAAAATCTTCTTCTCTGCCCCTTGGTATTAAATAAACCAACTAAGTACATAGTTATGATGAGCAAGAGTGCCTCTACCAAAATTGTGAATTTTATGGCCTCAGGGTCAGGGTTTATGGTGTTAGGGAGGGGCTCTATTGATTATATAGTGAAAAACATGAATTCTTTGAAAATCTTCTTCTCTGCACCTGGGTATTAAATTAAATAACTAAGTACATAGTTATGATGAATAAGAGTGCCTCTACCAAAATTGTGAATTTTATGGCCCCAGGGTCAGGGGTTCTTGTTTTAGGGTGGAGCTCTAATGATTATATTGTGAAATGCATGAATTCTTTGAACATCTAATCCTTTGCTCCTGGTTAATATGCTAATGATCTAATTCCATATTTAAGGCCAGGATTTATTTTAATTTCAGTTTTACAAACCCTCCGCTCAAGGTTTTGAATTTGATATTGTTGTGAAATGCATGAATTCTTTGAACATCTAATC